AAGTGGGCCGTTCAGATGGGCTTAGGTGCCATTATATACGAATACATCAAGTTTCATAAAGATTGTTTCAGGCTTTCAAAAGTTACGGGGGGGGGGGGGATTCACAGATACACAGACAGCATGGAAATCGCATATGCCTACTTCGAAAGTAGGCTAACAAGAAGTCAGGGTCGCAGTTACTTTACGACTGGCGGCTTACCGCCAATAAGTTCGGCTTGGCGACAGATCACTTGAGACTCACCACAGAGTAATTATATTTTCCAACCAACTAAACACTTGCGGTTATAGTCCTCATGTAACATCGTCTCTGACGAGAGGATGGGTATGCCGTTTACAGTTGCTGCTGGTCCTCGCGAGCGCAGTCATTCTCAGATCCCAGTCCCGCGGAACTCATGACCACATTTTACTGTCTCAGATTCGAAACTTCCCAAAACCTGGAGGGTCAGGCCCCTGAATTTTCATCCCCCAGGAAAAGGGGGGCTCGCTTATACCTCCAGGCATTCTGTTCTTCTCTGTCGCCTCCTCCGACTCGCAGGGCTACGGCGGATGTATTCAACCACGCCACCACATGGGAGCTAACAATAAGTTCTGAAAAGAACATCACTAGAAACTTTAGGTTAGCCTCGGCACAGACGTCATAGAAAACATAGTGTCCAAAAATTCTTCTATTACTGCGTGAGCTTATTCGTTGCCGCGGGAACGTGTATGCCGAGATCTTGTCTACATTTGCTAGGCAACGGCTCGGTAAACACGTTTCCGCTACAACGAAAACATACACAGCAATAGATGAACTGCTGGACGCGGTGTCCCTCTCGCATGAAGTACTCAATATGTACTGAAAAGGAACGAGACAATAAGTTATTCCTGTAACCTCTTGCTGTAACAACTACACTGCCATACTTTCAGTTTTTAAAATAAAGATCATAGCAAAGTATGAATAATTACTAGATTTAAGTGCACATCTTTATAAACGTATATGGTGTATTTCATAATTCTTGCATTGAGTCGTGAGTTTACTCAGCTATGAAAATTGCGTCGCGGCGGTATTACTGGTTGGAAAATAACTAATAGAAGAGATCTCGGAAAGCCACAGAAGAAGAAGAAGCCAGTATCAATGTAATCAGAACTTTCTAAATAATATTCCACTGCTCGCACAACTTAAATTAATTATTAGGACATTCTGCGATTCAAGCTGGAGGAAGCAGTACAATGACTAATTCCAAGAATATATTTTTAATTTTTAGATAATTTTTCTGGATTTCTTTCTGTCATCAAAATCCGGGCCCTGATTATCACCCAGCAGATTCACGTCATCGGCATAGACCAACAGCTGATGTGTCCCGTTTAATTTCAGTCCCACCTGGCTTTCCAGGACCCTCCTAATGGCATATTCTGAAGGAAAGTTGAGAGGTAGGGGCGCTAAAGCATTTTCTTGCTTTAGACCGTTCTGGTTAGGAAAATTATCAGACAGATGTTTACCCATACGGACTTTACCATACACAGTATGTCCAGGTTCTGTTAGGACTGTGTTCATTTAAAATACAAGACGTGAATTATTTTCAAAATTGCACTCTTTTTATTCAAAATGGTCTCCTGAATCAATACATAGCTGGAATAGATTGAAAAGTTTTCGAAAACCGTCATTGTACTCCTTTTATGGAATCGCATTGAAACCTGCGGCACATTCACTTTGAATGTGAATAACGACTCCCTTGGGTGGGATATTTAGGGCCGGCGACGTTTGGGTCTGCACCGCCGCAGCGCTTCCGCCTCTTTACTTCCTGGAAACTGCCCTCCTGCGTTGTTTGTTGCCTTGTTGTTTTGGGGAGGTTAGTTTTTCAGAATCAGAGTCAGAGTCAGAGTTACATTGCGACTGACAGTCAGTCAGTCAGTCAGTAAGTCTTGGTGTCGAACGACATTTGGGGCTCATGACCAGATATTAATTATTATCATTTGACAGTTACGGTCTTGTTTCTGTAGGGCGCCTTCTCTGACGAGAGGACGGGTCTGTCTTTTGTATATGCTGCTGGTTCTTGCCAGCGCAGTGTTTCTCGGGTCCGAGTCACTTGGGACTCGCGACCATATTTTACTGTCGCAGAATCGAGACTTGAGAGAGAGAGAGACACTTACGGACCATCTTCAGAGGGAACATAAATACTTATTCGGAAACCACCATCACAATAGGTGTTCTGATTGCTAAATTACATACACACATAATGCCTGGAATACACAATGTACACAATATTCAACTTTTCACAATCACAGCAGCCTTCCTGGTATTAAAACTTTTAAAGTGTTAAAAAAATTTAGCTTACCTGGACTTAAATATATTTAATAGACACGGACAAATAGAAATGGAAATATATAGAAAACCCACAACGACAGACATAACAATAAATAATAAATCATGCCACCCTAAAGAACAAAAATTACCAGCATATAAAAATTGGATACACAGACTTCTTACACTACCCCTTGAGGAAAATGCTAAAAACAAAGAATTAAATGCTATTGTTAATATAACACTAAATAATGGCTATAGAAAGGAAGACATCACACATCTATATAACAGACTTAATCGAAAGATGGGTAACCCGGATAATAAAGACGAAAAAGAACAAAATGAGTCACTTCTATTTATACAGGAATTTACTTACGAAAAATCACAAAACTATTAAAAAACACTAACATAAAGATGGCCTTCAAAACAGCCAATACAATAGGTAAACTAATAAATGAAAAACGAGAAATAAACCCCTACGAACAAAGTGGAATATAGGAAATAACATGCCAAAATTGCCAAAAAGTATACATCGGCCAAACTGGTAGAAATATAACAAGATACAAAGAACACATAAGAAACATAAGACTAAACAAGGACGAATCAGCATTTGCCCAACACATAGTAAATAAACACCATCAGTACGGACCGATGACAGTAATCATGGAAATGATTGAAGAAGCCAAAGAAAGAGGCATCATGAATGTAAATAAATTGATAGAACAAGAAGAACACACAGAAGAAATTAATAGCCAACGTAACATGTTCGACCTCATAATACATCAGAACACGCCCCCATCAACGTCACCAGGTTAGTTTTTTCCGCCGCATTCTTCTTATATATCCTAGAGTCGATCCTACAGAAAACATGCCACTGTTCGTATTGTTGCAGGTTTTGCCTAGCATCGGCTGTTTACTCAGCCGTTGCAGGCAGCGAATGGTTTCTAATTTGCGATTGGATAGCACCCGATCCACTGTTGTTGTAGACCTTACATAGCGACGACTGTTTACTCCCCGTTACTAAGCAATGGTACCTGAGCTGTCACTGTAACGTTTCCGGGGTAACGTCGCTGGCAACGCGTGCATTATTGCATTGCGCTGAGTTCACGCTTCTCAACATACAGCCTTCCACATACGTATATATGAAATAAACGTTTATTAATATTCAATCAATACTTATTACTGAATAACCTTGTCCCTTTCACGTAACATATGTTACCTCGAAGGGACAAGGTCATACACACACATTTATATAATCTGCGACATCTCTGCTTAAAGACTCCCACTAATATTTCCTCTTAATAAGGTCAATGGTCCTCGTAATGCCTTGATGTGCGGTGAACGGTAATTCATGATAACATTTTAGCACGGTTTGGACTAGCGCTTCTGGAATTACAATGAGTGGACACACTTCCTTCCCTTCATAATACAATATCGTCCTCATCTAACCGAAATTTCTCACATGATAAATATCTCCGTTGTGCCTCATTTTTTTCTCCCTCGTTAACGAATAGTCTCCTATTACTACTTGTATACAACGTGATAGGACATCAGCGTGTATCATCTTCGAATCTGATCGGTGCTCCACTGTAAAATCATACTCAGATAATTTCATTGCCCAGTGGGTTAGTCTAGAACTCTGATCCTGTAAATTCAACAGCCATTTCAAAGCTCTGTGATCTGTATATACTTTGAACTGTCGCCCATGCAAATAACATCAATGCTAGCAATTCTAACTCAGTTATGCTATACTTGGATTCCGCGGAGTTCAACTGTCTGCTGCAATACGCCACTGGCCGTTCTTCTCCGTCTCTAACCTGCGAGACGCACAGGTGGTTGACGCATGGCAAGCTATAATAAACGGTTGCGAAATTTTTGGATAAATGAACAGAGGTTCCTGATTTGAAATATCCTTTAACTTACCAAAAGCCCCCTGCTACTCAGGTCCCCACTCGATGGGACTGTCTTCCCGAGTCAGTTTCATCAGGGGCATAGCAATTTCTGCGAAATTAAGAACATGACGCCTGTAATACCCAGTTAGTCCTACCTCCCTAACTGTACGGGGGTTGGATAATCTTTGACAGCCTGTATCTTTCGGGGGTCTGGTTTGACTCCTTCCTTGGTCACTATATGCCCCAAATTCTCTACGGTATCTGTCGCAAATACACATTTATTGGGCTGTATCTTAAAATTCGCTTGCTCTAATCTTTGAAATATTCTTTCTAGATTTGCTGCATGCTCTTCCGTAGTAGCCGAATAGCAAATCAAATCATCTAAGTAGGCTAAACAATCTATTCCTTTTAATCCTGTTAAAATAAGATCCATACACCTCTGGTATGTAGCTGGCCCATTGTTTACACCGAAAGTTAATTTCGTAAATTGATAATGACCCATATGACATTAAAAGGCTGCTTTCTCACTATCCTCTTCTTGAATTTCTATCTGGTGATACCCAGATACACTATCTCCTCTTTCCCCATTATTGGGGAAGAGGGTGAGTTCTCTAAATATCAAATTTAACTTGCAAATATCCTGGGCTGATGAAATGTCTAAAGATCCTGACTTCTACTTCAAACATAACATAGAAGTCTTCCAATAATTCATAATTATAGAACTTAAAAGAGGGTACCTGAAATCCACTAGGCTTGCCTACACAGGTGATTGGTAATCTTATATTTATGAGTAGTCTTAAAATTCATAAGCATATTATCATACTTACAAACGCTAACTTTCGCAAAATTACAAATACGTCTTTCACTAATTCCCTAATGTACTTGCTGGATCCTTCTACAGCCGCAGGGTGCGACACATTTAACACATGTACAAGTAGCACTGCAAATTCGGTATAGCGAAACATACTTCGGGGATACCAACACATAGCCATTCAAAGTTATACAAACATACACACAAAACATTGTCTTATTAATTATAAATACCAATTGAAACCAGGAAAGAAACGTACATTGATGGTGAACACAGGATATTTACTGTTATGGGAAGTGTTAATTTGTTCAGTTGGTAGCACAGTGTTCATCTTATGATAGTTTAGGTTGGCTGTATATGCAGCCTCCATGTTTTTCTGTATGTTTAAAAGACACTGACATTTGTTCTTCCGCCCACTATGTAGTGATTCGTTCTACTGGAGTCCAGTTTGCTCTAGCAAAGTTTGCTACTGCACGTGTTATATTGTAACTATAATGTAAGTAAGTAAAAGGCAGAAGCCTAACAATACAATGACGTGTATTGAGTGTGTGATTAAAGCAGTAAGTCATTAACTGAAACTACAGAGATCAAATTTCTGGCAAATAACTTATCATTTAGGTCACAGTGACAGGGCAGCCAACCTCTTAACATGACTGAAACAGAAATATTCCATTATCAGATCTATTACAGGACGGTAATTTTTCACCCTATTCTTTACACATTTTCGTCTATAATATTATTCTACTTCCTATCCAGGAAGGGAAATTCGGGTGAAACAAATGCCCAGCAGTCACTGAATTGGTCGCGTAACCATACACGAGAAAGAAGGGAACGACTTCACTGATAATAAAGATATTTCGTCATAACGTTATGCCACAGGAGGGCAGCATAATGACATAATAGGTGATAATCAGTGGTCATTTCCATTGCCGTGGGGATGCGCAAACTCGTGAGGTGGGAGCGGCGATTTCAACACCATCTGAGCTATCACGTAGCAAAATAACATCGGAATATAAGGGCATTGATTGATATCATGGGTGGCAACACAGTAAACACGCTCAATTTTATACATAAGGTCATATTTCGACTTATATTCCATGTTACGACAGTACTATATTATGTTCTGTTAAATAGCAGGTTCCTAAATGACGTCACACTTAGGTGTGCGCAATGGACTACTGCGCATCCACCTGTAACACAGGGGACTGTTCCCGAAATATTCTTTTAGAATCTTCCCATTATTCATTTTATGTTTTTAAACAAATGTCAAGGACATACATATACTTTATATCAAAGGTATCCACCCCACAATACTAGAGCTCAAATATTAGAAAGGGAAATCACTGATTACGATCTGAACCTAACAATATATCATTCAACATTCTTCTATGCACTAAAACAAAAACCCAACACATCACTATAAACACAGTATACGATAAACTCTTCCGTATATGTTTATGTTAAACTCTCTACATAATCTATGAATCCTGGAATATACTACGATATTTATACTGGACGTAAATGCATTTTTTCCGAAATATTGACATTTCAGAACGCTCTCAAGTGCATCATATTACAATTATCTTGATTTACTCTTTAAATTCAAACTGTTCCCAAAATATTCTCTTTTAGAATCTTCCCATTATTCACTTTTTTATGTTTTCAGACAAATGTCAAGGACATACATATACTTTATATCAAAGGTATCCACCCCACAATACTAGTGCTCAAACATTAGATAGGGAAATCACTGATTACGATCTGAACCTAACAATATATCATTCAACATTCTTCTATGCACTAAAACAAAAAACCAACACATCACTATATATGTTCTAGACTAAACTATAAAATACAGTTACAAGAAAGTCAGCTGTAATAACTCATGCTTTCCTGCAAACCATGTGACTCTGTAAGTAGTTTAATAGATTGAAAGAAAATGATTCTCTGATGCTCTACACTACCTGCTAGCACATGAAAGCCTGGAAGATTAGATGGCAAGAATGCAATCCATTGTCTATCACACCGAAATACACATCTAAATTAGAAATTACTTGCATCATTCTTCATTCTATAACACATACTCTACACACCACTGTGCACATTTTACACTGTCATTTAACAGGTCTGCCAGAATTACACCAATGACACCATGTGTTTCACTTGTTATGAGTAAGAATTCTTCATGCAAACAAGATATGTATATAAAAGGGGAAACCTCTGAATCCATTGTTGATGAATGGAAATCTTAACATTCTTGAAAACAATACAAAACCACATTACACAACACTCTATATATATGTATTACACACAAAAATGTAATGTCACACTACACAATTTAAACTTCACTTTACACTAGACATTATTGTAACAAAAACAACATACATTATACACACAACTCTCTGTCACACAGAACTAAGGTATACATTCAAAAAATATCTTCTTCAATGTCAACTACAAATACACTTTGCACCCTCTTCTTACAAGTACTTATACTAATGAAAAAGTATATCATTCTGACTAATAACCTACACACATGTGTAATATTCAGAGATTATATACCATAACTAAACCCTGTTTTCTGTCATACAAAATGTGCACTCATAATATCTAATTCACTCTCTATCCATATAAACACTAAAACACATTTTGTGCAAATCACTGCACATACTTCACACCACATTATTAATAATAGTGCAAGAACAACCTCAAAGACATATTGCCTCACTACACACCCACTATTCTTATATGTACTTACTTTCCTTAAATCAATAAATGTAAGTTATGGTGTATTCTTCCTTCACACATACTTCAGTTTCATGGTTCAGAGGGAAAACACTTCGATTTCTTTGTGGAACAGAGGAAACACTTGTTTCTAAATTTTGGTGCACTAGCCATTACACGGTCCAGGATAACACACACATTAAAGCCTACCATTTGCAATATCTCAATGAATATTTTAACATATACTTTCAGACATATAATTAATCACAAATTGTACATTTATATATATATAAACATACACACATAACACCGTCTAATTATGTATAAACACTTCTTCATACCAGGAAAGGAACATACCTTGATGGTGAACACTGGATATTTAGGTCACAGTGACAGGGCAGCCAACCTCTTAAAATGGCTGAAACAGAAATATTCTATTATCAGTTCAATTACAGGACGGTAATTGTTCACCCATTTTTGTGCATATGTAAATATTTTGAAATAAGCAAAAAAAAAAACAAACAAACAAACAATGGCGTCATTTAGGCTTGCTGCATTATTCAATCATGTTTAATGTGTGCGCACTGTAGGGTATGATTCTTATATTCAACAGACCCAAGTCCTATCTCGAGAGACAGAGGTAAATTTTTCAATTGGGCCCCAATGAGTAGGCTCTCACCTGGGGATGCAGACAAAAGAGTTCAGTCCCTGAAACTTTTTAAATACAAAAACAGGACAATGGATAATGTCCAAAAAGTCAATAATTGTACCATCTGTTTGTGATTACAAACTGCCTTTTATACCAATAAACTACCTAAAAGAGGAACACAATATTATCCTGCACCCATCTGGTTGGCACATACCTTCACTCCATGCATATTGGCCTGGTCTCTTATTAATCAGTATATCTGTGCATCAATGCACCAACTGCAACAGAAAGCTGGGCAATTCTGTGGGATTATTTTGTCAAAACTTGAAATTCTTACCTTCACACAATATGAAATGTGGGTGTTATATAGATGCTCATGCAGGAATACAGTAAAACTTGAAACAATATTTACTATAAAATGAGTCTTGTTTCAGTTTGATTCTTATGTGTTTTTATAAATTTGCCAGCAAAAAAAAAAAGCCATCTTGATACAACACACAATTACAAATTTACAGAACAAATACTGTGTATGGAAAACAAGAGTAGTAAACTATTAACACCTTCCTTAGTGTTCCAGTTTGCTCACTTCATTCCCTGAAATGTGCCTCCACTGATGATAACCAGTGTTTACAGCACAAGCTGGTCAACACTGGATGGCAGTTTAGTATCTTGAACTGCTGCACATGTGCACCTACTTCCACAGTGGTCCAATGAGTTGCACATCAGTATTACACTCCACATTTTAATGAATACAAAATGCTGAAGATGTAAAATCCTTAAAACATTACAAAGACAGTTTTAGATTTCAGGTTCTCACAGCGGTGACTATGAAGAAGGCCATCTTATAGGATGTAATGCTATGTACTTCTGAGCGAGTTTAACTGAAATTTGTCCGAAAGCTAAAGGTATACTGTGCTTGTGATTAATTAATTATGCACCATATCATGAAGGTATAAGGGGGAGCACAGGTATAGCTACACCATTCTCGACCTAGCCACTAGGTTGAGGTGAATGGTCAGCTTCACACCCCTGCTGCTTTAGCCCCAAGGAAAAAGCCCCACAGAATAGGACTGTCCAGCGCCAACCTAGTTGATATACTAAATATCAACAAGCTTCAGTCAGGCTACATGGCATCACATCACAGAAGCATGTTCATTCCATATAAACTACTTTCAGATTAAATTATAAAGTTGCACTGTTTAAAACTAAGTATTTTTCTAGGCTGTCCATTGTTCAAGTTTATTGAAATTACTACATTTGGGAAATTCACTCTAATTCCATCTTCAGGTAAACAGATTATGAAATAAAATCTACTGTTTTGGGCCCCTTTGAAGTGCTGCTCTCAGAGCATGGACTCTTCCAAGGGACCCAACAGAGTATGTCTTCTTTCACACCACATTCACCTAAAGATGAAAACAGAACAAGTTTCTAAAAACACAATGGTTTTACTCTCAGATGATGGACAAAATCCAGAATAATAGCTTTAAACAACCTGTTACACAATCATTAAAAAGTATTAAATTTACTTCACACATTTTCCAGTATCTGAATAGCTTTTCTTTCATGACCAGTATTTTATATATTCACAACAGCAGATTAGGCACACTCATTAACCAGGTGACAGATAATTACGTACGTGGACTACACCAGAACATGTTCCGTTCTTCATATAAAAATTAAATGCAAACTGAACTCACTAGAATGGTGCAGTAAAAGATGCCAGTCAACACAAATTCTGTATTGGGGCATACAAGCACTAAATGATATTTATATGCAACATTAAGACTGCATTTTCCATACCATGGGCCAAATGTGGTTTCACCGTTAGATTGCTATAAAAACTTCTTTATGTATTCTAGGCAATGAGCAGTTTTTACATAACATTAAAGAGAAATCTAGACCACAGGTATGGTAAAAGAATCTATCAATCTAGCCTTATTTAGTTAGGTTACTGCCAAACCTAATTAATGAGGAAACAAAAGGCCATTTTCCACCAGAATACTGTATCATCTTCTCTTTGACAATCTGGTTACCGATGTTTATGCTACAGAGTTCCTTCTGCTTCCACCTACCATTGTAGTTGATAAAGGAATCATATTCTATGCCAAAACAAACCGGATTTCATGTTCTCAAAGCAGGGACTACAAAAGGCTCGATATTCTGGGTTGACACCATGCAGTCCAAAGAGAGCAGAATGTTTCAGAAGAAGAGATCGCCTTCAGCTTCAAAGCTGCTGAATTAAGTCAAGCAAGGACCCTGCAGAAGGTGGCAAGCTAAGCTTAACTTGCCACCTGGTTCTGCTGGTTACTTGCTTTGCTAACTCTCTGACCCTGAAGATGAAGGTGGTATGTTACTTCAAAAAAACTGGATTCTATCCGAACTATACGGTCTTATGGACCAGAAGACTGTACTCTTCATCTCATAAACCATTTTTATTGCCACTGCAGTCATTCAAATCATTTCTTTATTCACTTGTCTGTTTTATTTTAAATACTGATGTGTGATATTAATATCCCCCTCCCNTCATTCAAATCATTTCTTTATTCACTTGTCTGTTTTATTTTAAATAAAACATTTTAAATAAAACAAAACATTTTGAACTCAGAAAGAAGACTGCACTATGTTAGGAGAGAAGACCCTTTATAAACAAAAGGCCTCCACTGCTTGTCCCCCCACCCAACATCCCAATTCCAGTGGAAAAAACTGCCAGGCATCTCAGAGCAGAACACTTTTCTATTCTCATGCTGACCATCATCAACTACTGTTGCTGAAACCTCCAATATGAATTCAGTGCTCCTTTCTTACGACACAACAGAAAACATTATAATGAGGCCACAGAGAGAAGTCACATGGATTGATCCTTTCTACATCTTCCACAAGCTGTTATGCTACCCCATCTGGCACACTTCCCTATATTCTGCTCCAGTCACAGTCATTCTGGTTCCACAAATGCCAGTACTGATAATAAGAGAAAACTGAGGCTAACAACAAACGATTTGAGGTGGCTGGAATACACTAGGGGGAAATATTACAGACAGTGAAAACCTCTTTATATCATTATCTCCATAATCCACTAGACTTCTTTCAGTACCCTCACGATAGCTTGCAGCATTGCCGTGAAGGTTGCATATACCATAGAACCATTTGTAGCCGGTGAAAGTGAAACACTGACAAAAGTATGAATAATAACTATACAGCAATTTGAACTGTGTGCTGAAGTACTTTCCAAATATAATTACAGTAAATATTTTAATAATTCAGTTATGACCAAAACTTCACTTTTATATGCCCCTTTCTTATACTGTGAAGTGGGAAATCACACAAAAGCCCTATCTTTATCTTACATAAATAAGTAAAATTATGCATAGAAGTGGGGGTAAGTATATGACCAAATAGGCTGTTTCTTGCAGTTCTGGCTAGTTCAGAAGAAATCTTCACTTTTTACAAAATTAAAGAGAGTAATAAAACACAATGCAAAATTAAAACAAATTATGTTTGATGGCTGAATTACTATGTTTCAGAGACATTTCATATTATGCAGAGACCCTCGATATGCAACTCAAGTGTTCAGTATCCCAATATCTGCTCAGGAACAAGAACTATATTCTTAATTCAACAGCTAAGGGGAAACAACCTGGGTGTGAGATGGCTGGTTAAAAATCAACAATTATGGAACAAGAAATAAAATAGGACAAATTAAATCTAACGTTGCTATTGTAACATGTCCTGCTGAACAGGACTGTAGCCTACTGAACATTATACACTACACATGACTGCAATCTGATTGAAAGCAAAAAGCAGTTTCAAACTTACTTCTGCTGTCTGAATTCAAGATGCTCGATTTCATTCAGTATGCTGTTTTGTGAACTTACATTAGATTCAGGTTACAAAAAAGTTAATGAGCTGATGAAATATAATTACACTGGTACCCATATTTAAGGTTTTCCTCATTTAACATCCAATTTCAATGATCCCAAGTAAATAAGCCCAATGTTAAATTATCTCCATTTAACGTTTTGTGCAGATTATTGTCTAAAGATACTCATTTAAAAAGAAAACTTAAGTGTGCAGGTTTCAATGTATACATAACTGTGTAGCAATAACATGTGCTTCTATTCTGCCTTGCTCCCAAACATGTGCAATAATGCCAGAAAATCAATGGGCAAATACCCATTTCTGGCCAGCAGTTCAAGAGACAGGAAAACTTGTCAAGCCAGGCACCTGTCAGTGAATTGTCTGTTCTGGCCTTGGAGCTACACCTGTGCATGAGAAGTACCCACAAACATAAAAGCACTGGGTTATATTAAAGTAAAAACGGGGGGGGGGGCGCAATATAAAGGAAGTGAAGCCAGAATATCGTCTTCTGAAATGTGAAACTCTGTTGTCATAACCTACCAGACTATACAGTGTTACAACCCAGAGGACAGCTACCTTCACAGTCACTGCTGAGGGAAACTCTGAACTCAGTAATTAAAGTCTCTGCTACACATAAAAGTAATGAATTTGATGTCTGAACAATGTACCAGCGATCTCTTTTTATGCTCAAATCCATGTTTTATCTTAATTCATTTCACTATACCACTCTTTATCTGATGTAGCTGTTAATATGAAACAGACTACAAATTTGTTCTTAACTTTGTCAGGCCCCACACCCCACATCAATGTCATGATCTGCCAGGGTCTGGCTCTCAAGTATAAATCATATCTTAACAATCAACAGAAAAAATATCAGGTAACTATTAGTACAATGAATAATGGTCATGTAGGCTACCCTAAAAGGAACAGGTCAAGAAGGGTGGTCATCAAATACCTCAAAAATAAAGGAAATGGATCTAAAGAATAAAACAGCAAGATCCTGGAATCCTCTCACATATTTGGCTCAAAAATATGGTCATCAGTTCCAATACTTTTTATCTATATGGAATATAACAGCAGAAATATCAAAATTAAATTCAAGTCAAATGAAGAGGAAACTATAAATGACTGCTAGTGTGAATGTTGAAGTAAATGAGGACTTAACAAATTGACTGATATGAATGTATATGACTGTAATGACAGTGACTTTAGTATCAGTGGAAACTTTGTAGTAAGTGACTGGCTGAGCCATAGCTTAGGCACTTGGTCACTAGTTTCCCACCATGGCAACCCAGGTTAGGTTATGTGGGATTTGTGCTGGACAAAGTGGCAGGTTTTCTCAAAGTACTTCGGTTTCCCCTGCCAATCCTCATTCCACCAACTGCTCCACACTCATCGTATATCATTTTGGGATTGTACAATAGGCCAGTTAGTGGCCAACAGGCCAAGCTGACTCAATCTCACTCCACAAAAGAGGCAGGGGAAAAAAAAAAGACTGACTGCAAACCACATGCCAAGAAACAAAGAGAAATAATGTTCTACTGGCAGTGACAGTGTGAATACTGCAGATGTACGCAGCTCCAAGCATTCCCCATGCTCCCAAATCTTCATCATTCAAGATATGATAGAAGGTCTAAAATTGTTGTAGTAAAAAGTAATTTTTCTTTACAACTGATGGGATGGGCAATCAGATGGCAGGTTTTCACTGTGTTAAAATTCAAGTTATAAAACAATATAACATTCCTGTTCTCATCAGTATGAGTTACGTACTGTGCTGTCTGTATCTCTTCACTCAGTACTAAATACTAAATGAAAAGAGCATCATTAAATAACCCAAGAATCAATGAACCCTTCATGAACGGAAGATAAAAATACTTAAAATATGCTCCACCAGTTAAGATTACAGTCTTCTGAAATCTGAGTCTGGGTACTCTGGTAGATGGTTCCCAATATTTCTGAGAAACCTAGCTTGAAGATGGAGACAGCACGTTCCTCTGAAACATTCATAACCAATTGCAGTGTGATACAGATTATGCAGAATCACATCCCAGAAGAACTTAATGTTTACTGTTGTGAGACCCTCAAATCTGGTATGCTTCACAACATTTATACAAGTTCTATACACAGCAGTACATGAGCTATAAAAAATGTCAATTCTGTACAAAACACTATGGCGTCTACACAGTTCTGGAAACATTTTTTTCGCAAATAATAAGTATTACTCCAGGACCTCCAGTAAACATCAGTGAGAAGCAAAGGACTAAGGTGGAGATTAATGTTCTTTATTCATATATTGGTTGCAGTTTTCATTGCTAGTTCTTTGGTCAAAAATATTAGTCTTTATACAAGAACTTTCAGTAGCAAGTGAATAAGCAATGAAGATTCTTTTGAGTAAATCAGTACAGATGTTACCTCCAACACTCATCACTTCCATATCATTATGATGTGATAAATATGAAAATTTAACAGAAAATTACACTGAATTAAACAAACATCAATATCAAGTCCTAATGTTCTATGAAACTCTAAATGTGAAAGTTGAGGTTGTCACAGTAGTCGCTATGAAGACTTGTTTTATGGAACGTGATGACATGTTGTCTGGTAGATGTTTCAGACAAACATGCTCTTCAGTCTTCAGAGCAGAAGAATATGTTTCTATCGCAGAATGACAAGCTCCAGTACCCAGTTATATTTCATTATAAATGTGTGCCCAAGTACTTCCTGAAGATTTTATAAAGGAAAATAGTCCTCATGCCTCAGCAACATGCCACAAAGGCATATAGGATGGATTGTTATAATTATTATTGGTTTATTTAACAATGCTATCAACAGCTTGAACTATACATCACTGAATGTTAAAATGGCTAAGGTACATGAAAAGTGATGCATAACAACATAGAACAAAGTGACTCTATCCTAATTTGAGGCATTCTGAAATTTGCCTACTGATCAAGGAAACAGTCAGATTAGCCAGGACATCTAAAATATGAAAATGAAGTGATGATCCCTTAATAACAACAGCTGGTTTGGAGATAAAACTCCACATGTTTTTATACTTGGCACTAGGTCAGTGGCCAGTTTCATGCTTCAGCTCAAGAGACAACACTTGAGAGTAACTGGACAGGAAATGTTTTACTGTTCTTGCCTGTAAATTTAAGGAAACAAAATGACTGAAGATGACTGAATTGTTAAAATAACGAGTGCCCAAGGGTGTATCACATTTTGACATAAAACGAGTTGAAACATGCCTGCATTAAAACAGTGTTATAAATCCTTAAAAATGTGTATTTTTTTTTACAAACATGTGATTAAAGAGCTTGTACTAATCACAGAATAAAACTAGTTTTCCATGTCATGTACAAAACTGTTTAATATGTAATTCAGTCACAGGGTAATACTAAGGCTCAAAAGTGAAGATGTTCAAGTGTGAATACATTCACTATAGGCCTAGTTCCCTTCTGGTTGAGTTATGGTATGTACACCTAGAATAATTCACAAGTCATTATGTTCCAGAGAACAATTATTACTTTAGGCTTGAAGATTCACATGAAAATATATTCAGTTTCAATTAGCAATGTGTGATATGAGAGCCCAGCATAACCACTTGATTTATTTCTAATTAATAACATATTATTACTACAAAACATACTGGTCTATAAGATGACCTTCCGAGCTTAAGAACAGCCCTCCGAAACAAGGGACTGTCCCACATGTGAAGCATAAAATGTGAACTTCAAATTCTTAAAAGCTACTTTGTGCTTAACAATTTCCATTAAGTCAGACAAAAGTTTTGTTCACATAATTAACACAGAGATCATAATAAAATAAAATTGAGTGTGCTTGGATAACACAACCACAATTACTGTAACTGCAAAGTTGTCAGGATGAACTCAACACTATATGCCACTTGCAATGGCTGATGTAACAGAGTCAAGCAACAATCCACGCAACTTTCAGTGCAAAGGTAAAAGCAAAGTTGCTCATCACAGGAAAGTTGAGGTTCATCAAACCAGTTACAACAGTCAGGATTTTATTAAATTTAGTTAAAACATGTATTTTGTGGCCACTTTACTGGCAAATATATCCAAAACTTAAATTTTTAGTTGAACATCCTGGGTTGTCTTATGCATGTCTTGTACACCAGTGTACATGGTAAGTCCAAAATGGTTAACTGTATTCAGTATACTCACATCAGCTCATCACTACCTGGAATATTCTGTAGTATAAGAGTAGTGTTTCTAAACTAAAATACAATTTTAACATTAAAAATAGAAATAGCCCACATAGTGACTATAAAAATGATATACGGAATGCTAATACTAGATATTACTATACTCTATTCGAAATGTCTATGGAGCACATGTAAACAAACACTGGTGATAGGCAGTATGGTGTTTGCTTCTCTTTGGCTTACAGGCCAAGGAAGTACTTCTTGCACAGTACCAACAATGTCTCTCTTCACTGTAACAGCAGCTGGTTAAGACACAATGAAAAGCGCAGAATAGTCAGCGCAATGTGAACTCCACACTAAATTCATCCTGGTACCTGCTTTTCACCTGTTTATGTGCACTCCACACATTTTGAATGAAGCACAGCATTAAAAACACACAACAGCCACAACTTAGCAGTACAGTATTACAGTATTTACATTACTATTACTCTAATTTCTTGTTTCTTCAATTAAGAAAAGCGAACAGATATAAATACTTAAATAAAAATAAATGAAAGCTTTTCCTGTCACCAAACTGAAGTTTAAAAACTATAAATATGAAAGGTGATGGTTAACACTTACCTCCTTACAGAGATAAAAACATTTTCGCCAGTTTACACACACTGCTTTCATGTAATTAAGAACTTACGAGCAGGAGCATTGGTCATTATCGCAGCGTGTTAAGATATCACAAAACACACACATACATACCTTTCTGGATTTATTCATAAGTTACACCTCACAACAAACAACATTAAAACTGGTTCATTGGCTCCTGCTAATCCATTAACTTGCAATGAAGTAAGTCGTTAAAAAATTTGTGTTCCAAATATGTTGTTGAGATATGAATCTTCTAATCATCATCATCATCATCATCATCTTCATCACCAAAATTGTACTTTACTGGTTTGCGAGCTCTGCCACTGGCAGAAGATCTAGGTGGTGGAACATAACCATCATCTTCATCATCGTCTTCATCAGATGATACTTTCTTTTTTGATTTCTGCAACAGAAAGAAAATTGTCATGAAGTCACAGAAGGTGTTAGAAGAAACAATTTATACACAATGACAGACACCACAGAAGATGTAAGGTTTGAGGTTCCCACAGCAGTGGTTATGAAGAGTTCTATCTTCTGGAATATAAAGGAGTGTAGTCCATTGAAAGTCAACCAATATTGTGAAGGAACATGTCACTTCCATCTTCAAGACTGAAGATTAAGAAAAGCACTGCTTGCCACCTGCTTCGTGCTGCTTTCTTGCTTAGCGTACTCTTAGACCCTGAAGATAGATGTGACATGTTCCTCTGAAATGTCGGATGACTTTCAATGAACCACGGAGCATTATATCTCAGAAGATGAGAATTCATCAGGCAAGACATTTTTCTTCATAATACAGGCATTCCTGACTTATGTAATGGTGGTGTTACCAACAGTGGGCACATAGTTCAAAATGTTATATTATTCCTCTGGTTTCACAAATTCTGCTTTTGACAGAAAAAGGAGTAATTCACCTAACTTGTGCAGATTCTCTTCTGTCACGCACTTTTTATTTTAGACGACACCAAACTTATATTCAACTCACTAAATTGTGAGTTAAAATGTTCTTAGAATATAAATATTGTCATGTGTCACTTCAAATCACTATGAAGTCTTCTTGTCTTCAGTCACTCTGTACTCCTCCATCCTAATCTGTACGCCATCTTCACAATTCACACTCCTCTCATTCTTGTATTCTCAACTGTTGAGCCCTCCTGGACTCATCACTAACTTAACCTTAAACAGATATTCGTTATATAGGCACAGCACGGACAACACAGAAAACAAGTCACACTGTTACAGTGTGATGTCACTGCGCCTGCACAGAAATCTGTTTGCCGAGCTGTTACCTAGAAGCAGGTTGCATAACCTTAATGTTCCACTGTCATGAACATGCATTGCAGGGTGCCTATTGGTCTGCTACCTAGCAACACACTCGCCATCCATGTTACAATACTCGTATATATACGTTTCAGCCTCACAGGGCCATCTTCAGGCAACACATTTTGATGGAATCTACTGCACTGTAGTTGCTTATGTCAACAGTACTCACTGATGTATGTGGCCAATGTTCTCAATTTTAGTATAAGAGAATGTCTGATCTTTTTCTATCTTTGTATTGCAGCTTCTCTGTGACCCTTTGAGTGTGCTGCTCCCCTGGTCATGTGTACCTTGTATTGATCTGGTGCTCCTTTTAAGAACATTTTAACTGACATTTTAGTGAGATGAATGTAAGTTTGGCATAATTTCAAATAAAAAGTGTGTTGCATTACAGACAGACCTGAAACTGCATGAGTGATACTCCAATGCAACAGGATGCTGAAATATAACAGTAATTTGCTTACATTTAATACCAATCATTATAACCTACAAATCCAAATTTTTTTTTAGTTCAACTAATTTTACTGAAGAAATATGACACCATGTACTCTGGTAAAAGTTTGCTTGCTCACTCAGCTTACCCTTCAACCCTGAAAATGGAGGCAGTATATTCCTCTGAAACACTGATAAACTGTGGGAAATTCTGTCATGTCAGCTGTCTCTTCGACTTCAGTTTAGAACTAATCTAACTGCTGTGTTCCACCTACACAACTCTAAGAATGTATACCCATTCAACTGTTTATTAAAAATCGCTACATGTTTCGACCATCCAGCTGGTCATCATCAGGTGATGCAATACTTGCAGCTGTTTTTGAATTGCAACTATTTTAAATAACATACAGGCCACATTTGCAACCATTTCTGTCTACTATCTGTGCTGGATACATTGATATAAACCATAAAAACTATAAATTTGCTACATTATAATGTAGATTATGTAAAATTGACCCCACAACATTGAAGTAAAGTTAGGTAAATGTAGTATGAGTAAAAAAAAGTGCTATAATGGTATAGTCCCTTCTTCCCTGTGTTATCTCAGTGTTGATTAGTATTTTTTATACGTGATGCTTTGGAATGGAGAGATTGGTATTACTTGGCCTACTAGGCTATGGTCCTACATTTGTTTACTCTTGGGCTGTAGTAGTTAGTATTCATGATTCATGTGACCCTTTGGTATGAACACATGAGTGTTTCTTGGCCTACTAGGCTATGGTCCTTCAATTGTGTTGGTACTATTAGCCATGGGGGTGAGACTTAGTATACCCATACTTTTGACCTAGCACAACACTTCACCCACATTTGTGTTTACAGAATAAAAATTCATAGCAGGTTGAATGGAATTAAATCTTAAATAAATTGCTCAAATATTTTTTTTATGAAAAGCTATACAAAGATGAACATAAAGCAACATAATAGTGAGAGACATACTGTATATCACTTACTGCAATATATTGGCTGGGTTTCTTCAACTGTGGGTCAAGATCTACTCCAAGGGGGGTTACCAAACTCTCGAAAATTATTTAAAATAGTTGCTCTTGCACCCAATTTTGGCATTTGATTAATAAAGCAGGTGCCTTCAGAAAACAGTGGCAGCTGGAAAAACATTTTGTGACTGTACAGGAACATTCTACAGTTTACTGTAGGCACAGCTTGCTGCTGTCACCATACAGTCTGACGGGCACCTGTAACAATATGCAGACTGCACCTTTCACTGACTGGCAGAGATCGGGGCTGCTTAAATCTATGAGTTACTTTCAGGGGCCACAGGTTCAGAACCCCTTGGTACAGGTTATACAGGAGAGGAGGAAAACCACTGAATTAAATGATGGTATATTTAAGATGACTAAAACCCTTTTCAATGGTATCAAGATCACTTCTGAGATAGGCTAAATTTGCCTTTAGTTTCTGATTTTCCCTTATACCAACATTTGAGGTACAAACGTCCAAACGTTGCTTCAATAACCTAGCTGGGATGAAGAGAAATTTAACAAACCTTTTTCTTAGACACTGCAAACATATCTTCATCAGAATCAGAAACATTCCTCTTCTTGGGTGCTGCTTTTTTAGGAGCCTTCTTAGGTTTGCTTTCATGTGTACTAGACTTGAAGAGAGTTGTTTTCTTCAGGGCTTCTGCAAAAAGGTCAACCAAGCAATAAGATTACACAAAATAAAGCAATGACAGAATTGAGAGGGAAAAAAAAGCAAAAGAATAGATTTTACACATATGTGAGGTTAGAAGTTCTCACAGAGGTGACTGAAGAGCGTGACGCCGTGCAGTCTGGTAAAAATATCAATGTTTCAGAGGAATGTACTGCTTCATTCTTTAGGGTACAACAGAGGAATATGTCAAGCAAGCAAGCAGCAGAGTTTCACTCTACTTACTCTTCGACCCTGAAGATGGAAGCAGTTATGTTCCCTCAAGCCATCAGGAAACTTCTACCAGACAAGAGAGCATTCTTTATGTTACCATGTTACACACAGATCACATGATCATGAACGATCATTTTTAGAAGCGTGTGTGTCTAAAGAAGAAAAAAAGATGGTAATAAGTGCCCAAAATTAAATAAAGCAAATAGAGACAAGACCAAGACTCCATAAGATGACAAACATCACAGAAGTAAATGAACATACTCACCCTGTTTCTTCTGAGGTACTGGAGGAGCATCCTCTTCTGAAGACAAGACAGCTGCAGCTGTTTTGACTATCCCTTCCCCAGTACCACTCCCACTTATCAGTGAATCAAACATCGCATCTGAAGACACTTCTTTCACTGAAATTCCACATAAACATAAACACTGGAAATGGTCAATTATAAGGGTTCTGATGATGGTATACTGCAGTCCCCATGCTCAAAATCCTACACTTCATCCGAAGTGCGGGGTTACTGAAGGGATAATTAAAAAGGGGAAGCACAATAGACCACTGTAAGTCACGGTGCAAGGGCCGAGAAGGCCTACCCTTCATACATTCATTCATGGTACACTGCATGGGAAAATACAGTACTCCTAGATTTTGACCTACTCAGGTGCACCCCTTAGAAAGAGCACCCACGACAGTAACTCATATTACATCATTCTAACATATGCAACTAAGCAGATCCTTCCTTTTCACTTAGCAAAATTAAGATCCAGTTTCCTAAATGGTGCATTGTTTCAAAATCCTAGATGAAGTACAGAAATTCAGTAATCCCAACCGAAAATTGTTTTCAGCTAAACATGTCGAGCACTATATTAATACAATAAAGGTTTATCAATTAATAATGTGATATCTTCCTCTGAAATGTCAGCTGAGGTTCACTGAACTAAGTGAAGTTTTATCCCACAAGATGGAACTCTTCATAACCACTATTATGAGAGCATCAAACTCAACATATCAGAATTGTTGGAAATCCATTCCATCTTGAAATATACAAATGCCTGAGAAGTTTCTAGTTAGTTTCTTGAGGTGGGCTGAGACTGAGTCCACTTGGTACATCTGCCACTAAGTAGCCTATTGTACAAGCCCTGGATGATAGACGATGATGAATGTGGAGCAGTAGGTGGAATGAGAACTAGCAGTGGAACCAAACTACTCAGAGAAACCTGCCCCAGTGTCACTTTGTCAACAACAAATCCCACATGACATGACCTGGGCTCGAACCTAGGCCACCACAGGAATGCCTGAGAAGACTTCATTACATTTATATGCCACAAAAGCTTCAAATCTTACTTTAACATTACCACTAAACAAGGACTGAACTGTTCTATGTGGAAATTACACAGAAATGGAAGTCACGATGTCATGAATTTCTAATATGAATCTGACAAGTTAAGCATATTTACTGAGATACAGATGAAGATTGTTCACATCAAATGTCATACATACATGGCCGAGGTTTCCGCTTACTAGTGAAGTCATCATCCGAATCTGAGAGGGGATGCTTATTACTGCCATTTTTCATTTCAAATTCACTATCTGTGTCACTTATATCAAGTGTCTTTGACTTACTGCAAAAAAAAATTGACATATTACTTACTCCTCTTCAAACACAAACAAAATAATGTAATTCAGTTACTGTATGTTTCTTAACTTAGCTTACACAGTATCCAAGTTTGCATCATGGACAGGAACGTGTCCTCCATTCTCGAGACTGTTGTCATGAAGCTCAAACTCATCATCATCTTCCTCGTCATCACTGTCATATTTAAATTTAATGTTGGCAGCTGTAACAGCAAATGATAAAAATACCAATGTGTGTATTCTTCAAACAGCATTCCTAGACTCGTTACCTGAATAAGGTTCAGATGGGCTGGACATGTAACAAACACGGGAAGAGAATGCATATAACATTATGCTTTAAAATATCAGACTGAGAGACCATGTGCAGAACCAAGGGATAGACAGGAGGTACACACACTTCACACAACAGTCTTATTTATTTCTGGCTTATGTAATGACCCTGTCAGTAACTCAGACTACATAGGTGTCTATTAATAGGAAGTAATAAAGAGCTGAGAAAGATTAAGAAACTGTTGTGACATAATTTGAGGCCCTATACTGGCACCTACCTGGAGACATTGTGGAAATAAAACTTCAGCCACAATGGTCAGTCCCTGGGATCAGATTCTAAAACCAGGGCCTCCTTATTATGAAGCAGAATTGCCACCCACTTGATTCCAACACTGACTATTAGGAAAGGGAAAAGGGGTATTGAGATACAGCACCACACATTTTGACCCTAAATAGGCCTACTGTGTGGGTAAGACAGAATTACTACATCTTTGTTGGGCAAGGTGAACTCATTAACATTGGATATGAAGCATAATATTGTTTTTTAGCATCACACTTTGGTATGTTATCACTTGATACGTGCAGCACACAAACACAGACTTCAGTGAAGCTCTTTGTGTGGTTCCAGGTTCAACCACTCCTACTTCATGTCCTTCTTACACAACATGTTTTGGTCAGACAACTGTCACCACACAACAGAGAGCAGCACATACTGACCCCCAGTCATATATAAACAGACCTGATACCTCAACAGGCCACAGTCCATGTTCAGCCAGCTTAAAATGTTTTATGATATGTAATGTCAGCACTTTCCGCAAAACAAGCAGAAAGGAGGGGACATTATTACAACTTTTTATTGCATACTGTGGTAGCAGGTACTTGGGGTGCAACTGCAGGCTGCCTTTGTAGAGGCGTGAGAAAGAGAAAGAACACTTTACTTGCATATTATTCACGTTTCTGAAAACATATGAAGAAAAATTCCCTAAAATGGCTGAAGTGACAAAAAATCCCCTTAAAAGTCCAAAAATTACTGAAAAATTATCCCCAAACCGAAAAAATGACCTAAAACTTAAAAATGATGAAAAATGACCAAAAAATTACCTATAAAAGTTACATTTCTGTAACCAGCAGCTCATCTCCGGGATTTATATCTTTACGGGCATCGAATAGGATACGAGGAATAAAAAATGACATGTCATCAAAATCCAGGCCCTGTTGATAACAAAGTACATGTCATCATGATTCAACTCATCTTTCTAACCATCCTTACTGATAACCACGGAAATGTCAACATTATGATTCAACTGAGCATTCTAACCGTCCTTCCTGATAACCACGTAAATATCATAATTCAAGTGAACTTTCTACGTACCTATCACTACAATTTGCATAGAAAAGATACGTCATTTACATACATTTAGAAAATGTTAACATCCTTGAACTGTATAACGGAATTTTTAAAATTTAGTCCATAACGTAACATGTTACTTCATTTGGTTTATTAATTTTAGTACAAGTTCCTTGAATATATGAAACCATGGGGGGGGCGGGACACCTTAGAGCAAGTTTGCCAATGTATTAACTAGTCGGATCATCCTGAGTGATATTTGATGTTGAAATGTGTCAACTTATCAGCTAAACTAATTAAATAAATAATTACATGTTGTAACTTGACAGTGGCTGATCACGGTGGCCATGTGGTCTAAGGCATGAACTGTTTTCACTTCCTCGAACACTGGGATCATGGGTTTGAATCCCACTTGAGACATGGATGTCTGTGTGGGTTTATTCTGTGTGTAGGCAGTAGCCTTGCGAGGGGCTGATCCCCCAACCAAGGAGTCCTACTGACTGTGTATAGATTAAGAAACCGAAAGAGGAGCCAGGGTCCAAAAGAAGGGCTGTACGGCCATAGCGTGATGGACACAATTTGACAGGGACTTCATAAGATGTTAATTTAGTTCCAGAGGCAAATTCTGTCATGAGAACTTGATGCCGCGATAAAAATACTATTAACGTTGATGCCTTATGTTTCAATATAGAACAAAATGAGTAAACTGTGTCTAAAACATCTTTCAAGTTGCATTATTACTAGAGAGCCACACAGAAAGTTACTACACTCTGCTTTCCACATAAGACAGGAAACAAAACTGCAACACCAGAAACCTTGTTGAACAAGATATTTCTTGCATAAGGCTGCCTACTCAAAGTATGGTGTACCACTCTCAGACAGTACAATAATGAGACAGTGGAGTAATGGAAACATTAAAGTCACATATTTTACAAAACTCAAACTCAAATGGTGCTGGTAGGAGACAGACGCACAAAAGAGAGAAAATTAAGAGCAACACTAAATTCTCATCAGACAACCAGTAGAAATCATCACAAGTTTCACATTAAATGTAACAGTTAACTAACTGTCCCACCTGCTGTTCTACGGCTTGTTGTCCTTGGTGGTGGTCGGGACACACCGTCATCTTCAGAACTCAATTCTTCATCTTCCACTTCTGAATCAGTTTCCCACGGATTCTTGCCTTTACCCTTTTTCTTAGGTGAACGAGATGATGACTCCTTCCGTGGTTTTCTTTGCTTTACCTCTGTTGACAAATGTGAATTCTAAACTATGGCAAACACTGACAAATTTGCAGATTGCAGATTGAAGCTGAATTATCAACAATCATTTGTGCATACATATATGCCATCATAATGATAAAACCAATAACATCAAAGTTAAAACACATTCTGTAGTAATAGTTCTTTACACAAGGCCAAATATGAAGTTCACAAGTCATGCTACCTGGAATTAAGTATTTAATAAATCGTGACAGGTGACACAACTGTGTAGCACTTGGCACCACCAGTCATCTATGATGACACAATTTTTGTTGGTACTGGGAGCCAACTGGGTCAATATATGTTCATAATTGAACACACTTTCATCCCAGTCACAGACACATGTTCAAAGAGTCAGGAGGCATCCCAACTCTCCTGTACCACAAAAGATTACAATCTTTCTGAACATGTATATGCACCGTCCGGGCACAGGAAACAGCTTGCTTGCTGACGTGGTGTATGCAGGCCTCCCAAGTTGTAGTAGGGATCTCAAAGGTAGAAAACCAGGGAACAGAAGCTGGTAATTTAGGGGAGGGAAAGTTCAGACAGGAAAGCAAATTGAACCATAAATAAGCCAGGACTGTAGTAGAATGACCGTATTAGGAGGGCACAAGGCTCAACACAAGTTGTTAATTAAAATACATATATCTATATTCTGCAATATGAGATAAGCGCATCGGCGTAAACAACACAAAAATAGAAAAGAAATAATAATAATAATAATAATAATACATAAGTAATAAAATACGAACTAAACAGTTTTACTTTGCAAACGAGCCAAATACTTTACCATGACCCGCGAGGGCTCCTTTCCCTGAATGCCATGCTAAACGGCCAAGACAGAATTTCAAAACAAACAGTTAAGCCGAAACTTAATTTCAAAGACCAGGGCAACAACTGCCCCACTCGGAGGCTACCAGGGGAAAGAGGCCGACCCTAAGGCTGGCAGAAGCACAAAGGGGAAAGAAAGGGGAGGGGGGACACATGATGTCGCGAGAGTTTAATCGGAAAAAAGGAAACATGGCCTCTGCGGAACACTTGGGTAGACGGAGAGGTTCCAGAGACCCTAATCGCTAAGAACCGTTAAACATGGTTCATATATTTCTTTTTTCCTTGGCACTACAGCCCCAGTGGGCCTAGGCTTAACTCCTTGAACTTCTCCGTTCACTTCAGTTTTTCTAGATCTTACACATTCAGTACGATTCCTTGGCCGGGTGATCAGCTTGTCGTACGGCCTCTACCTATACACAAACACAGAAAAACGCACACAAACATCCATGCCCTGAGTGGGATTCGAACCCATGATCCTGGCATCCGAGCGAGCAAAGACAGTGCATGCCTTAGACCGGTCGGCTACTGTGACTGGCTGTTCATATATTACATTAATAAATTAATAAATGAATCGGAGTTGTACTACTTTTTAATAATTCTGTACTTGCTGTAAATATTACGCTATATTTTGCCTGTTACTTTATATGGGAATGAAACTTGGCCTCTCAAACTGAGAGAAAAACACAGATTGAGGGTAAGCTCTAAAAGTGAGTAATGACGGTATATTAATTAGTAAGATTACTGACTTTCTGCACATTATCCAGAATCCCGTTTTTTTTAACAATGTTTCAGAGACTGGACTAGGTCTCTCTGTCATTGGGTAAAAGTCCACCCAGTGTGGCCCAACTGAGAGAAGTCCCCTCGCTTGGTCTGGACAATGGATAAGGTCCAAAATTCAATAACTGCACAGATTGAGGGTGTCTGAGAACAGGGTGCTGAGGAGAATATTTGGACCTAAGAGGAAACAACAAGAGGCTGGAGAAAACTGCATAATGTGGACCTTCATAATTTGCACTCTCCACTAATTAGGATTAGGATGATCAAATAAATGTAGGCAAGATGGCCTGGGCATAAAGTGCACGAGATGAGAAACACAATATTTTATTTCCAAAACCTGAAGAGAAGAGAGACCTCTTGGTCTTAAAAAATATGATGAAAGTGTGTGATCTGGATTCATCTGGCTCAGGAAACATCGATGCTGGGCTCTTGTGAACAGGGAAACAAGCATTAAATTTGAGGTTTTCATGGCAATGACCAGTTTCTTGAATGTGACATCATGTAGTCTGATAGAAATTCACCAACATTTGGGATAAATGTAATGCTTCCAACTTCAGGATCAAACAGTAGGCCAAGTAATAAGCCAGGAGTGTAAACACTTTTCACATATCAGTCTGCTTGCCTTATTCTTCAACCATGAAGAATGGAGTACATCCCTCCAAATGTTCATAAACTCCTTGGGCTATATGGTGTCATATCTCAGAAGAAAGAACTTTTCCAGGTAATGAACCTTTGGTTTTCACAGAAGGTGGGAAATTTATTAAGTAGCCAAACAACTACTAATTAATCAAGGAGGGTTCCATTCCAGAGAGTATGCTATTGTTTGGGCCTGGATCTCTCTAGTTCAATCCACTATCATCACCAATCCAACCGGCTCTTGAAATAAACTGTCCTACCTAATCATTTATCAGTAGCTGACCTATGAAAAAACAATCATTTTATTACAAAATTATGCAAACTACATTTTGTGCAATAATGCTTTGAATTATTCACATTTTACTGTTGTAGGGTTTAAATATTAATTCAAATTACTAATTAATTACATTTCAGAATACTTACATTAAAATTGTACTAATGTTACCACATGGGGCTGTGTTAAACATTATTCTGAATTACTCAACATACAGCAAAGCTGTCCCTGTGCTCAGTCAGCACATGAAGACATACAAAGGAATGGAGGAATCACTCCACACATTTTAACATTTACACAAGGAGGAGGTGAGTGGTCAGTTTCCCACTCCAGCCATTTTACCTATGAGGAAAGGCCCATAAAATGTAAAACTATCCCTGTAACAGGTTGTGGAGGCCCATAGGGTTGTGGGACATGGAGGCTCTCACACTTTCTAGACAATCAGCTCACAGACTGCAGTGAAGTTGTCAGCCTTATGCACCAACTGGCCACCCTTTACTCCCAGGAAGATTCCTGGTACTCATTTGTGATAGAGTCTGAGTCGACCCCAGGGCCATAGTGCTACTGGAAGAATTATGTCAATTGAAAAATCCAATGACATTGGGAATCGAACCCAGTGCTTCAACCAACTACACTACTGCATGCTCCCAGAGGAAAGGCCCTATCACCCCTTAACATGAGACTGATTGGACCCTAAAGTCAGGTGAAGGGAAAAATCTCTCCTTGCTCAGAACTGAACTGCAACTGTCCACCCTGTAGTGAATCACTACACTGAGTTATCCTCGCTCTTAACTGATTTCAATTATGTAGTTCAGACTACTGTATTGGTAAGAAGCTGAAGGAAGTGGCCACGGTGTAAGGAAAACTATCTCAGCATTTGCCTGCAGGGACTGAGGAAAATGAAGAAAACCTAAGTCAGGATGGTCTGTACCTACCCAAGGTTTGAGCTGAACACTTGCCAAACAAATGTCAGAAGCATTACTGCTTGAGCCAACTTGCTCAGCCAAGTAGAAGCTCAAATGCCCAAACTGCATTACACGTACCTTTTCGTTTTGCATTCATTTTCTTTTCTATATCTTCAGGTGACGTGCCCAAACGATCTGCCAATGTTTTCTGGTTTCCATCCATCATATCAAACTCGTCCTTTTCTTCAATAAGCAGCTTTTCTTTCCTCGCCTTCAAAACAGGAAAACAATGTCAAGATCACAACAAAACAAAATTCAGATGCTGGAGCAATATATTACAGCTGGAAATGTATTTTTTCCAATAAAAAGTGATGAATTTCTCCCTGATTAAAACCTATCCTGCACATTTTTAACATAGAATGGGAGAGAACAAGGAAACAAATTGATGTTTATGGAGATCCCAATCTTTACTTTATTAAAACTAACACTTTGGAGCTGAGCCAGTCTTAATGTGATAAAAGTTGCTTGGCTAACAAATACAGGAACTACCTAGCATTTTATGGAACCTGAAGATTCACTGGTGTTCATACAAGCCTACAACTGGTCCCTGTCCTAAGCCAGACTAATCTACTCCACACCCTCCCATCCTACTTCTTCAAAACCCAGTTTAATCTTTCCTCCATTTACACCTACATCTTCCAAGTAGCCCCCCTCCTTCAAGTTTTCCTGCCAGAAATTTGCATGCATTACACTCCCATGTATGCCACATGATCTGACCATTACATCCTCCATTTTGTCCTGTGTGGATTTTACAAGAAAACATGTTCCTGGACATGTTTGGGTTTCAAAGTCTCTCCAAAATGCTCAAATGAATAATGTTAACATTTCCTATGCATAAAATCCTCATATATAACACTGATTCAGAACTTGTATCCAACCTACTGACTGTTCACTTATGGTTCCGCAGTTTTCCTTATCCATCTTTTACTAAGTGAAAAAAAAAAAAGTAAAGGTATCCCTGTAACAGGCCATGAAGGCCCATAGGGTTGTGAGATGTTGAGGTTCCCACATTTTCTAGACAATTGGCTCATAGATGGCAGTAAGGTTGTCAGCCTTACACGCCGGCTACCCTTTACCCCCAAGAACATTCGAACAATATTCCTGGTACACATTTCTGTTAGAGGCTGGGTCGACCCCAGCGCCATAGTGCGGCTGGAAGGATTAGGTACACTGAAAAAAATAAAATGACCTCATCAGGCTTTGATCCCATGATCTTCTGGCTTGTAGCATAGTGCGTCAACCAACTATGCTACTAAGTGAAGTGCATAAATTAATGTAGAATTTTGCACATCTGATTTTAAACATTCTTCTTTTGCTGTCTGGGGAGCTAGGTGTCATATGTGTGCGTGTGCATTTGTAAGTTCAATAAACTCAATGAACTCCTGATATTACCTGCACTGTGGTGTAAAGTAACTGAAACAAATACAGTAGCAGTTCCAACTTTATGGAAAGCAATAATTTTCGAGGAGCTTATTATACAGAAAGTTGGAGCAAATTCAAATAGCACATTCAGGGGTTCATGTTAACTCATATTAACTCTTCTTTAGCAGTACAGCAAAAAATAACTCTGGTGTTACCACTATATTTCCAAGTTGCCCTGATAATACACATTTGTGTTACTTATAACTGAAATATGAAACAATTGCCTGCAATCAAAATACAAAAGTGGAATAAAAAACCAACCTAATTTTCCCATTTATGATGTCCCCTGAAAACTTAGCAGGGAAACCCAGCTTTGAAGCGCCTTGTTTCCATCTGCTGTATGAGCATATGCAGTAGTGCAAGGGACCCTTGTTCCTACACCTCCCTAGTCCCATCTTCACTTGTTGAAGCCTGGCTGTGAGCCAGAGCATTATTTGCCTATGTAGTGAAAGAAGGGAAAATACCATTCCCAAATTGTCTGGCTCATCGTTCCGAAAATAGTTCTGGCCTAACACCTGCTTCTGGTAGGCAGTCAACATGCATTGCATCTCAACACCCGTAAGTAATATATTCAAACAGACCCGGAGCCTTAGCAAATCTGTGGTTATATAACCTTTTTCATTTCTATTTTTTCCCTGATCTGCATTTGTTGTTACATTTTGTAAAGAACTGTTATTTCTGAGGTGTGCAGTAGCATAGTTGGTTGAGGCAACATGCTACAAGACAGAAGGTCACGGGTTCGATTCCCAATGAGGTCGACTCAGCCTATAACAGAAATGAGTACCAGAAATCTTCCTGGGAGTAAAAAAAGGGTGGCTGGCTGGCGCATAAGGCTGACAAACCTCACCGCCATCTGTGAGCTGACTGTCTAGAAAATGAAGGACCCTCAATGTCTCTCAGTGCTATGGGCCTCCATGACCTGGTACAGGGAAAACTTTACCTTTTTCTACTGTTATTTCTAAAAATATATCTATCCTTATAGAGCTTCCACTTTTTGATTATTTACACTGCGACATTTACTATCTATCTGTCCTACTGGATCCATGCCCAGTAGCAGGCAACACAATTTAATTTTCCAATAAATGGCAAGGAGTATTAATTGTGAAGCTCCTCATTATGTAGTTTTCAACTTCACTAACACACTTTACAAAATGATTTCTCATTACTGAGGCAGTGAAGCTGTTACAAGAATGTATTGCCCTCAATTGCATGGTATTCACATACAACCAAGTAATCCTCCAACTAAATGCAAAGATACCCCAAAAAATGTCAAAGAGAAGGTACCGAAGAGAGGTAACCTCACAGCCCAACACTCTGATAAGCATCCACCTTCAAATGGTTATGAAAGCAAAATGTCACCACGACTTCAACACATCACAGTAAAAAAACTCGGAAGATCAAAATGAAATGGGGACTAGCAAAGAGAAAGCTATACCACTCCTGGATTATAATCAAATTATGACTACGGTTGATCTGTTACACTAACTTCTTTATCCATGCCTTCTAGGAAAAAAAAAAATAATCACTAACTTGCATATCAAAATAAGGAGGCTGATGAATTCTGCAATCCTAAACCCCATGTTTATATGCAGTACAAGTTTGCCAGGAATGAACACTGACCACATAAAGTTCAGGGTGGATCTAGTACATGTGTTTCTTATGGAATATGCAAGTCATATAAAAAGAAAAGTGTCAGGGAGACATTCTGTGGCAAAAGCAGCGGCCCAAACAACTGAAAGGCTCTTTGCACAAAAAATTCTCCCAACAAGTCGTGGCCAACAAAGAGGTGTGCTGTGTGCTATAAACAAAACACAAGGAGGGATACAGCATTATGGCCCCTCGTTGTGAGACTGATCTCTGCATAGAGGGATGCTTCAAGACATAACATACAAAGCTCAACTAAAGCAAAATCTGCTAACTTCTACAGCATGCAGTGTGGACTGAGTAATCTCTCCAAGTTGCGCTGATATCCATCAACTGTTAGGGATGCTTTGCTAAGTAATAAAGCTTAACACAATGAAGATGAAATTTAAATGCCCACACAGAAAATTCTCTCACAGTACAGTTCTAACTGGGTATATAAATGCCTCCGCTCTGAAGGTTTAGTAGAAAATCAAAATTCTAAAATCTTCTACATTAAGACCAGGATGTCACCTAAGTGCCATGCGACCATACATACATAAATATGGTACGCAAACCCCAAATTCTTGGTGTTTTGATTAAATCAATTCGTCTCACAAAACGCAAACTGCTTTACATGACAATTTTAGTTTCAACTCCACAGCTTAAACCCAACCAGCTCATTTTAACTATTATTCTCAGTCGGCAAGGAACATATTTCAATACCAATCATATGATGCTGCACCAAGCTTAATTTCTAAATTACAGCGTACTCACCCTCCCATAAGGAACTGACACAGCTACAACAAAAGCTAATCACAAATTCAAGATCTGTATAAACAAATGTTTACTAGAAGTGACAAATTTCATTGAATCACTGTAGCCAAGTGTAAAGAACAGTACACAATTTTGCCTGTGAGGCCTAAACGAAATTCAATCCTATCAGACCAATGACAATAAATGGATCAAACTGTAACTTCCAGGTAATGTAAAGTCTTACGAAGCAACGGAAAACACGGTTTCTTAGCATGTAGTTCCAATATAAGGATAAAGCAAATTTTGTGCAAAACTCATGAAAAAGAAACGAAAAATGTTGAATAACAAATTCTCACCACTGCACACATTACTTACCCTTTTTCCTTTGTTTTCTTTTGATAATGTTTCCTTTTCAAATTTCTCCTTAAGTTTCACATCTATTTTAGGGATGACTCGACGTCCTTGTGGAGATGGTTTTGTCTCTGCTGCAGTCAACATTTCCTTTTTCTTTGATCCACCAAACTTTTTACCTACTTTTGTTGTCTTCCCTGAGCTTACACCCAACTCATCTTCTTTCTCCTTTGCCTCAACCTTATCCAGCTGTAAGTTAATTTTAATTCAGTGTAAGACAGAACCTTAGTTAGTTAGTTATTAGAGGGTGGGTTTCCCCATGCACCGCGACCAGTTTGATCTATTGTGCTTCCCTCTATGATATTCTACCAGTCTCTATACCCTAACGATATTGGTGTGTACCATCAGTCCCGACCGAGCCAGCGAGTTTGGCCTCTACTGGCTTGGCGGTATCTATAATGCTTCCCCCATCTATCAGATACATTAGAGACTACTGTTGGGCGGGAAACGTCCTTGAATTTGGCTCAGTGACCTCCTTTGGAGATATGATGTTCTTTTACATGCCGTAAAGCTACAACACGGGACACACGGCTTAAAGTCCCTCCCGGAGGACTTGTTCCCTGAAATTTTCCGCCATTAAAAATTTGATGACCTCTGCCGGGTTTGAACCCGCGTACCACGAGTCATGGGGTGGGAATGTTACTTCTAGACTACGGAGGCCACTAAGACAGAACCTTAATTCTTCCTTACTGAATTCACACGGAAACCCATTATCCATTTCAGCACACTGATAACAGCTACCATTCTACTGCTGGGAATTCTTCAGTAGCAAGGAACAGTACAGAGGGAAGCTGATATCCATCATTTCAGAGTCTGTCTCCTCTCCAACACCAGGGACTGACATGACAACACACACTGTCCCACCCACACACATACCTGCTGCCGATCTATATGAAGGTTTTCAGACACCCTCAATGACCTTAACCAAAAAGACTGCGAGTGCAATGTTTGCCAAAACATTACAAGACCCAAAATCTTGAGTTATACATCATGTATGTAGCTGTTCTCGAAGCCCAGTGTCCTGGCTGAGCACAGGTTCGTTGGACAGGGCAACAAATTTCTATGTACATAAATACAAGAGCCACGTGTGCCACCACACCAACCCCTGATGATGGAGGCAGAGACAGTCTCCTGAACATTGTACATAACTGAACATCTGATAAGGTTTCCTTGCATACAGTTTTCATTGAGAGCTTCATATTCTATAAACAGCAGGAATGTGCAATATATTAGTTTAAGTGAAATCTTATAAATCTGTAATTTCACACTCGATGAAGTGGTTATACAGCTTTCAGCGAGGCTGAATATAAATACGGGGTTTGGAACATGTGATAATGGGGCATTACCTACTTTAAAGCACCATCATAGCATTTGCCTCAAGACACTGATGGGGAGAAGGAGACAAAATAAAACAAAACATGTCTCTGTTCAGGAAAATTGGTCCTCCAAAAAGCATAGAAGGCTGGGCATCATAAATATAGCATAATTAAAAAAATATAAGAGCATCTCTTATGGGACTGAGCACAGCTGACTACAATGACTCCCAAATGCAGGTAATAGAAACACATCTGATTCCCATATGCGGATAATAGTAACCCAAGTGATTCCCGTATGCAGGTAACAGTAAAACATCTGATTCNAGGACGGAAACAGATCCAGTTTCCGAAACGTCGTGTTTTTATTTGTTATCTTAAAAACCAGGACGATGGATGAAGTCCAAAATCCCAACATATCAGTGTATTATACACCATCGTCAGAATCCTATAGTAACTACTTAAAATTTATGAGAACACTTACCAATGCTTCTAGAAGTGCTTGAGAGTGTGATATTTCTGGAAACATACCCCTTTGTGAAGTTGCATTACACAGAACTTGAAATGTAGACATATTCCTTTTTTTGTGAACTGTGCAAACATGGCATTGCCTAGAAGGATGCCTCCCCTTGGAATGTTCACTCTTCACAATTTTCACGAGGGTATGTTTCTGCATATCACCCGAGAGTCGCCGTGGGGGGGTCCACATGAGGCCTGCATGGGGTGGGGGTTGATGGGCCTGGTCGCACTAAGTCTGTGTCTGACTTTGGTTCTGCCGCCACCATCTGGTCTGTAGCCCAGGCCTTTGCCACATTCATCAGAAATGCTTTGTATTTAAATTTCGAATCAGGGTTTAGATTTTTGTGATTTTTTTAAATTTTTTGCTGCCCCCACAATTGTCCTAGCTGCATTTTCGTCAGAGCTACTTTCACTTTTACTGTCTGTGGCTACAATTCTTTGTTTTCCCCTGTCACTGTCACTGTCTGAGTCACCATCACAACGCGTCTCACAAGGCACGTAAGCTAGCTCATCGGAGAAGAATTTGTCCTTGATCCATACTCCACCACTAACTATGGCTGGTATATACAACTTGAAGACAGGCAAAGCATTTTCCGTTACAGGGAGTTAAGAAATCAGCGAGGTCATGTTACTGAATAATAAGCAAACATTCCGGAGTCTTGTTACACAGCTGTGTGGCGCCAGAGCAAGGTATAGTGTGTTACAACTTAACGCGTCCTAAAATCATGATATCATGCAACCGGTCCTTTATGTGTTAAGAAGTATTTGATTTGATCAAAACTAACCTGCTCAAGAAATACATCCAGATCTTCCTTCCACAAGGCTGCAGGACTTTTGGTTTGTAGGATCTTAAGTTGAGTCAGTTTATCATCACGTTTCCGCAGCAAGTCTTCCTTCTTCTCTTCTGTCAATGTATACAATGCCATCGCAAGGAGATAATTGTAACCTCCTCCTACATCAGATCCGTCATCCAACTGTGAACCTTCTGCATCTTCGTTCTCCATCTGCTCAGTGTGAACATCACAGTGCAAAGCAATGACATGGTATGCATGAAATATTCCGAGCACAAAATCTATATTTCAACCAGATAAGGAATTATTTTAGCATAAAAGCAATATAATAAAATAATAAAGGATCATCACACTAACATCTTTAATGTGTTTCACAAAATAAAAATGCCAAATACCAACTTTTCACACTCAACTTTCATATTAGCTGACCACAAACCCATGGTATTACCTGTGGAACTGAACCATAGCAAAGAAGGCTGTGGTTCAGTCTGCAGCAGTTCAAAACTATTATTGATCACTAAAGTTAATAAGATGCCAGAAGGCAAGATCATGGATTTAATATACTCTCACATGTAGGGGGATATGTCACACTGGACTGAAATAAACTTAATTGTAAACCTGTTAGTGTGACGGACCAGAATGAAACAAATTAAATTCAGCAACAATAATATGGCAGCTACATGAAGTTGTAATGTGAAAGTCACAACAGCATTACAGTATACAGTCTGCCACACACATATATTATACATAATCTGCAGCATCTGCAATAAATGTATATGTCCAATAAGTACTGGCTCGTGAATGAGTTATGCCCAGTGGCATAACCTACACATTTTTTGTTCACTTAGGTATCATTTTAATTCTTGCATTGGGGCCCCACTCAGGTCTGTCCATGTGTAGTTCTGTCACTGTCTAGGAGGCTCACTACTAGATCAATGTTGTGACTTTCTAATTTTCTTAAATATTTGGCACTCGCACTCTTTTATTTCACTGAGCACTGCGTTCATTTATCTGTAGATCTTCATGGATCCTGTGGTTATGTACCAAGGTGCATTCAGAATGAACTGGAAAATCCCTCACTGAAAGCACTGGAGGATCCTGATATCAGAACTGGAGGCCATTCTCCACAGCTGAACTCCATAGGTTCATATGGGTTCAAGTACTGCTTTGTAATAATAGATGTGAAAAAATTTGCAAATGTTAATGTAATTTAGTAGGATGTGAAATAATATGATGGTTGCATAAGACCACTGGAGATGGCACATGAAAATTGGTATAAGAGTACAAATGTACCTACATATTGTGACACAATGGCTGAGGGCAGGAACAATGGAACAAAAAAGAGGTAGCCATTACTAGGCAATGTCATGAAAAGCATGTTTCTGCAGCAATGAATAAACACGCAACAGAGGAACCATGTAAGTGAAGTTTTCTGTGCAGTCCTTGTCAAGGACCAACAAAGTCAACATTCAGTCAGGAGTCAGCAGTTACTCAGCTTTGGGAAGCACTGTTAGACACCACTACAAGGGAATGACTATTGAAGACAGAAGACTGAGAAGACTTGGCGATTGCAGTAATGATTTGTGGAGCATGTAGATTAGTGAAAGTGCTGTAATTATTTGTATCTATTAATTATAAACTGTCAATAAATCCAGTTATCGATCCAAACCCTATATCTAATCACTAACATGTGACATTTTGAAAAGTTTTTCATATGTCAACATTTACAAATAATGGAAATGGCATGATTCTGAGGTCATAATCATTACATTTAATGTAGGCATAACCTCTAGATAAGTAATGAGAAACCCAAGCAATGGGAAAGTAGGCTTTGAGTTCTGCTTTGAACTACTCATTAATTTACCACATGCTTAAATTAGTGATTTAAACTTAAAGACTCAATTAAATTAATTTCACTGTTACGTGAATACACTGACTGACATGCCCTTAATCAATTCTTCACACGAGATGAACCACAGTTTACATATGCTGGACCTTCTACTCCTTTATTCTTCATTAATCAACTGACGTAACTTCAATGCAGTTCTCAATGTTTTATACTAATTCCTTTAACAAACTTACCATTCCATTTTCCTTCAGCAAGATGAAACGAAAGAAAGCAATCTTTTTAAATTCTGTACGAACAAGAAAACCAAACAGAACAACATAATTTTGTCCCCTATAACTAAATGACAACCTAAAACCATCACTGTTTTGACAATCGATCAATTTATTATTGCAACATACATATACCATGTGCAATTTATGTTAACAATCTAATTTTCGAAGAAAGCAGTCTTCTGGGATTTGGCACCGTGTATATGTGGTGTTAACCGACGTTTCGGAGGAACGTATCGCCTCCATCTTCAGGGTAGAAGAAAAAATGTATAAGAAATCTGCAAGCAAAGAGACCGTGAGAACCGGTAAAAGCAGACTGTTCTCACGGTCTCTTTGCTTGCAGATTTCTTATATATTTTTTCTTCTACCCTGAAGATGGAGGCGATACGTTCCTCCGAAACGTCGGTTAACACCGCATATACACGGTGCCAAATCCCAGAAGACTGCGTTCTTCATAGTCACTGCCGTGAAAGCCTCAAATCTTACATAATCTAATTTTCATTTGAAGTCAATAGATTAAAAATGTATTAAATACAAATCATTGTGACACCCTGCAGAACTCAGCATTTAAATTCTGAGAACCTCTGGCCAGAAGTAAGCACAAGTGAATTTAAATGCCATATGCTAAGGGCTCAAGTACCCAGTTATCATTTATGAACTTATTAAGAACCACATGGATGATTAACCTACTGTAATTACAAGCATTAGATGTATAAGAAACAAGGCATTTCACTATTTCAGCAATTTATTTTATGAAAATGTGGATGAATGGCACTTCAACCAGTTACTCCATATGAAATGTGCCTATGCCAGCCATGTAGCTTCATCATTAACTGATATTTTTATATCTCTATTTTCAAACCCTTCAACCATTCCCAACATAATCAACCGAGAAATTGGTTATGTACTTACAAGAGCTTCAGCTTTATTCTGTTTCATTTTCCACACTGCCACTGGATCAGGATCATAACCGTTTCTCTTCAGCTCTTCAATCATTACCTTCATCTTCTTGTTTTCGATGACAAGCGTTCCGTCACATTTCTCAATTATAAACCTGGATTCCAAAACACAAAGAAACTGTAAGCTTCCATAAATGTTTTGGAAATACTCAGTGTAAAAAAATGAACACAAGAAATGGAAATGTGTTACACAAAGGAAGTACAATTCCTTCCAAAGAAAGATGCAACATTAAATGTCCCATTCCAATTTTTTCCAGACACACCTCTTCAGCGTTCTCATTATGCACACTTCAACACAAGTAATGCACCATTAGTTCTGTAACTGCTAAGTACTTCTTCAACAGCATAGATGTGTAGAGTGAGTGTCAACATCAGACCTTAGTACTGTCACATCTAGGGGTGTGATTACAGACAGGGTTTTGGATTGGTGACTAAATTTATTGACCACTTATACATGACTAGTAAGTACAATTAATTACAGTGCCACCACCAATCTCCACAATTCACAAATCTTCAAAGCAGCCACTAAGCTTTTTCCAGCCTCCTGTGTCTTCACCAGACATTCCCTGGCAAAGGCTTCTAACAGTAAAGATTTTTTAGCTTCATACGCTCATACAAGTACATAATATAATATGTATGTCACAGGTCTTTGCAGACATTAAAAGTGAAATATTTAATTTACCTTGCTTGATTGCTGAGTCTCCGTGACTCAGCCTGCAACATTCCTTCATGATACTTCTTCCTCTTTTCATAGTAGGCAAGACGGACTTTGAAAAATTCTTTCATAATCAACTCTACAGATTCAAATTTCCTCATACAGCAGTTCTCATCAAAAACACACTGAAAACAAGTAACATGTAAATTTACATCACATGTGCATAACTAACTCTATAGAGAGCAAAGCTGACAGTCACTCATGCAGTCAAAAAATTATTCACCATCTACAGAACTCAAAGTTTCAAGACTGTGTTTGGCAGAGATTGCGAGTGGGACTTAAGCTATGCAAATTGAACCAATGTACATACCCTCTATGTTCAAGATTTACTTTAATATTCTCTGATTTATGCCTAGGACCCTGAAGTCTGTCTCTTCCCTTCAAGTTTTCCAACTAAAATTCTTTATGCATTACATCCTTCCCACATGTGCTGCGTGCATTTCCCATTGCCCCTAAGTACCACCATGTGCAATCCACCACAACATCCTCAACCTGCCCTGCCCAATATCTGGGGAAGGGTACAAACTATAAAACTCCTTGTTACACAGTTTCCTCCCTTCTCGTACTACTTGTCACTTTCTTCTCAGATACCAAAAATCCATATTTTTTCTGTATGGTGAGAAAAAAGCTTCACATAAATATAAAATTAATCTTATGGTTTTGTATATCTGAATGGTAAGACATTCAAATCAAGCACACATTCAACCCATTACTGTGGCCAGTCATGACATGTTGCCACAATGAAATCAAACATAATCAGTTAACCGATACCATCTTTAGCACATTCAAAAACAGAAACGTATGTCTTCAAGGATTTTTACCACAAAAGCATAGCAGCAAGTCAACCCTTACATGAAGAACACAGTAAATGAAAATATAATGCAGCAACTTTATACTGAAACAATTTGTGCTTGCACTTTATTATCCCATGAACTAATTACACATTGTAACAAAAATGCAGGACAAAAACAATGATAATAATGATGATGATAAAGGGAGGCAAAGGTTAAACTTAGCCAAAGGAGGAGGAGGAGGAGGAGGAGATGATATTAATAATAAGAGCAACAAAGCTAATAAATTCTGCAAAACTGTGAAAAAGTTCCAACATCTAAGAACAAACAGAATGAATAAGAATTACATTCATAAAGAAGTTAAAAAGCAGATTATAAAAATTGGCTGTAACAGTAACAATATTTACCATAGATGACAATGACACTGTTGTTTGGAGTTTGAAGAATTTATGCAGTCCTTCCGCTTCAGCTGCCCTCCGTTTTTCAGGATTCATTGTCACAACAAATTTCACTGTTGTATCAGTGTTGTATTCTTTGTAATCACTGTAAGGAACACAAGAATACTCGTACACACAAACCAAGTTTCAAAGGTAAGGCACATATGAACTCAGAAGTATCAAAATCATTTTAAACATTTTGGAAATTACTGTGTTTGTCATCAGGCATGAGAGAGGAAAATGTTCCCATTCTGCAAAACTTGTTATAAAGAGTGAGAGAGACCACCTTTCTCTAATGGGCCAAACTGTGTCGGACTGTTTCCACCCTTATGACTGATGACAGAAGCTCTGGATCTGTAAATAAACTATATACAGACTCAAGACAATGGACATGCCCAAATAGAAGTCACGTTTATTGTAACATACTGTCATTAGAAAAATTTGGATATAGCTCAAAATCATTTTGCATCACATCTTGTTTGAACAAAATCACACTAGCTTGGATTATATGAAGGGATACAGAGTCTGAATTTGGTAACAAAGTACAAAACAAATTATCGCAGCTAAAGGGGGAATGGCTGCACGAATAATAGAAAAGCACGCCTAATCCAAGTTCTGGGACTGAATGGGAAACCACGGTGATTGTTCACATACAGAAATGCACGTAGGTCCTAATACAGAATGGCCATTAAAACTGTCAAGTTTAGATAAAGCTGTTAGTCATGCAGTAATTCTTCATTAAGTTCTTTAATGTCAAATTTCATGAAAATCCATATAGCCATTCTAGAGCTTTGTGGATGCACACGTGCACACAGTGAATTTAAAAGGCACCATGCAAGGTTCTGAATGCTCCTAAAGGTGCATGGATAATATGCACACCAAATAACCCTGTGCAGGAATATAATGCAATTCAGATAAGCAAACTTGGGAATTTAATACTAAAATAGCATCTCCATTTCAGAATTTCTTTTTCACTTACCTCCCTACATACTACAGTTTCATGATGTCAATATTTGGAGAAGACACCATGGTACAATACCTTGTTCCATACATGTCCCATACTTGAGATGGCTATCGAAATCATTCTGGCAGTTACTTTGTTTGTGACCATATGACTATTAGCCATATATGAAACAGTGCTCTAACTGCTAACCACATTTACAATAAAACTTCCTCCCTCTGGTTTACATGGGGGGGGGGATGGTCTGCATTAGGAGATAATACAGATTATCAAAGCCATAACTTAAAAATTATCGTATTATTAAAACCAGCATACTTTTTATCCCTTAGCAGTAACTGGGTCCCTTTCTGTGGTTTCTGATGATTTATGCTTATATCTGACAGTTCTTATGCTTGCACTGGCTGATGTCAGAAACAGAAGATATATAAGTTGCTCAAAAGCATAATTATTTCAGGATGACAGCTTCAGATATTGTCATTGGATGGATGCCATCAGTCAACTAAGCAAATGCTTAGTTGTTATTGACCATGTTATGACTAACTGGATTATGTTTATTTCCAAACTGGTGAGGTTTTATTGCAAAGCTATTGTTTCAAATTCATTATCTTGTCATCAGCCACTTTTTGGAAGAAACAGGATTTCATTGAAATCATAAAATTAATTAGTATAAGGGAATTCATACTCTCCAAAATATGAGAACTGAATTATGGCATACGTTATGGAAGGAGGAGTTTTTTCATTTGCTCCATGCAGCAAAGGTTCCAGCACAGATTCTTTGTACGTCTGTGTCCATGTTCCAATGGGCAATTCTGTTATCTCCAGTTTATCTTCACCTATGACAGCAATTTCTCCATATATAATGTATCTCTTATCAACAAGAGGTTCAACCACACCAGTGAAGTTCTTCCACCACGGAACCTAAAAGCAGATTCATCATGAGGTCGACAACATTAATAAAGTAATTCCTAACCCTACACACTTCAACTCTACAGACAGAAGCAGCGTATTCCTCTAACTCATTAACTCACCAACCAAATACAGTATGTGCCAAAAGATGCAGTACTGAAACTCACACATCTCGAACGCACATGTGCGTTTGTCGACGGGGCACAGCTCCAGCCACATGTGTCCCCAGTTGTGTTCTGCAATTGTTGTTGGAAATGGGTCTCTCGACGGAGGAAAAAGCATTCATAGTTGAGTATTATTTCCGCTCATACAGAAGTGGCCGTGAAGAGGGACCGAGTTTGAAAAAGGTGACAGAACAATTCCAAGAGAGATCTTATAAGACAGCACCAAATAACACAGTTATGCTGCAGGAAAACTTTCCAGGACAAAATCATTTCAAGTGGTACTGACTTCCCATACCCGTCCCACTCCCCCAGTCTTACATCACCTGATGCCTACTTGTGGGAATGTTAAAGGAGTGTGTGTTCAACTGTGAAGATCTGCCAAGAACTGTACCTGCATTATGCGAGCAAATTGTCTCCTTTTGCAGGAGTCTGCAGCAACCTTGTTCCGGGATATGACTGAGAATCTGCGTGAACAATATGAACACTGTCTACAGCGAGGCAGTGCACACTTCAAAAACTTACATTAAGCATACTGTGGTAAATCAACACACTAATAGTGTGTATGTTAGATTCTTTCAGGAGAAATAAACTCACAGATGACAACAAGGTAATATTGTTCGTCTTTTCATTTCAGTACTGTATATTTTGGCGCATACTGAGAATCGACCAGCCTTGAAAAGTGAGTGCCATATTCTCCAAAAGCCTCATGAAGCACTTCAAGGACTTTGGTAGCTGATTTACCAAGATTCACGTAAAACTTGATGCTGACATGTTGCTCGATTTTGCCATTTGTCGCACACAAAACAAAACACGAAGTTGAAAAATCACTCTTCTAAATGACTGATGCAATATGCTTGCAGAAGTGTGGCGCTGGCCTCCTCTCTCATCTTCTTCCACTGAACTTCATTTGATCACCCTAATATTATTTGAGAAGAGTGTAAATCATAAAATTTGTTATTATGCACTTTACCACATTCTTTCACCTCCTCCACCTTCGGTCCGAATATTTTCAACACCCTCAGTCCATGTTCATTTTGATGAGAAACCAAGTTTCAGGTCTACATAAAACTAGTATAATTCTATGTCATATTTTAATCTTTCAGTTTTTAAATACTGCATGAGAAAATAAGATACCTGAACTGAATGATAGTAATCATTCCCAGAGTTTAATCTGCTCTGTGGTTCCCATGGCAGACTATTAAGAGTGCAACTTTCTAAGACAGGATTCCGTGTAGCCTGGTAGAAGTGTAAGAAGTGCAAACCTCTACCAGACTACAGGATGCCACAACCCAGAAGAGTAGTCGTCATGCTCTTCGCTTGCCCTCCTAACTAAAAACTATCCCTTATTACCATTGGTTCAGGCTCTTGATCATCAAGCATCAGCTTGAGGTTCTTAACAATCTCTCGTGGATTGTAGTTGGGGATCTTAGTCATCCAGCCAGTACCAATACCATCAGCACCGTTCACCAAAACCATTGGGATGATGGGAATGTACCATACAGGTTCTATCTTCTGACTATCATCATAATTATGCTTCAACAGTGGCATGTCATGTGGATGGAATATGAACGATGTAAGAGGACTGCAAGGGAAGAACACCAAAGTTGTTACATGAGAGGTATGTTCCCTTTGTTTAATGTTTAAAGTCAGGATTGTCCAAATGGTAGCATGAGGGCCACAGAGCTCATAGGTAAAAGGTAAACCAATCCCTGTAATAGACCATGAAAATCCATTGGGTTGTGAGACATCAAGGCTATAACATCTTCTAGACAATTGGCTCAGAGAAGGCGGTAAGGGTGTCAGCATTATGCACTGGCCACCATTTATCCCTTAAGAAGATTCCTGATACTCATTTCTCTTAGAAGCTGAGTCAACCCCAGTGCCATATTGTGGCTGGAAGGATTAGGTAAATTAAAAAAATCCAATGACCTCATTAGGAATTGAACTAACAACCTCCCAGCTTGTAGCATAGTGCCTCAACAAACTACGCTACTGCGGGCCCCACAACCCACAGGAGTACCCCTTTATTTGTTAAAATGTGTTGATGTTTCTAGCCAGTATCCCAAGGATGTACTTGCATGCCTGAGAAATAGGTCACGGGCTGCAGCCCGAGTACATCCTAAACAACTTAGAAGAGTCTGGAATTAGTACAACTAGATGATCAGGTGCAATATCAGTACAACCTAGCAAAATATTTATGCATCTTCCTGACAACAATTAATGTAAATGTTTCTTTTAAGCATTATGCATCCAATTCTTATTTATTTGTGGGTGCTTCAATATATCATCACTAGAGGGCAGGCATTTGTATTAGAATATTGGAAAAGTATATTTTTTACAATGCAGCCTGTGTGTAATTAATGAAGGTACAATGTGGCTCCTCAGTGTTTTTAAGTTGGACAGCCCTGGCTTAAGGTTTATTCTTATCTCTGCTGCTGCTGCTGCTACTGCCATGTTGCTCACTGTTACATAAGAATAAATAAGGCCAATGATTTGCTCAATACACCAGTACACCAACAAATTTTAGAATATGCTGCAACACTACATCAACATGTGAACTGCAGACACAAAAGCTAACATTATGTTACTGAAATAAAAGTTTAACATTACCAAAACAGAGAATTATATTTATTCACTTACTTATTTAAGGTTATATAATAATGCTGTCAGTAGATCAAACTACAGTGTCAAATGGTAGGATAACCAGGACTTTCACAACTTTCCTAATTGCCTGACCCATCCCTTTGACTATTTTTCCCCCACAATAAAAGTTAGTCCTGAAAGGAAGATTTCAAACAATACAGAATGGCGTGATTCAACAAGCAACCTTCGAACCGTGCTTCCGAAAGTGGCAAATATGACAACAGCAGACCATTGCTCCTTATGGAAATTATTCTGGAAAGAGATAGGTGTGTTGCTATGCAACAGATGCATTATGATGTCACACAATAGTATGTAGCCACCACGTGACATCTTTCCTACGCAATGCGCCATGATGACATCACTGAAGCTTGGATTATTCAAAGGAACTATTGATCACAACATTTCCGTGCTGTGTGATTCTAAGCTACATGACGAGGGCCAGACGAAAGAAAACGAGTAGTGGAACTAGTGGCGGAAGCAAGCAGAGTGGAACCGGGAATACAGAAGAATAAGGAGGTCACCCTGTGTGGATGTCAAGTGTCATTTACAAGACTTTATGTGTGCGATGGTGCAGTGATACTGGAAGTGTAATTTGAAGATCTTAGGTGTAATACTTGTAGTGATTTGAGGGCTATTTTCTGTGTGGAGATCCGTTGCCAGGAGACAACAGGTGGAAGACAGAGAATCCTAGTGTGTGTGCCATGTTGAACTGGAAAGTGTGTAAATCGGCAATAGCATTGTATTAGAGTGTAATTAAGAGTGTGTGTAACGAAGCTGTTAATAAATCCAATCATCTGAACTGCACCTGGCAGAAATATGCTTCCTCACAGTGGCTGCAGGACACGGGATGACAAATGCAAAGATTTGAGAACCAGGAACAACAGACCTCACAGATCAATATAAACAGAAAGATGTAATGACAGGGATATCCAATTCAAAACTGGAACACATTTAATGCTTGTAACCACAAATGATGAAGAGCTTAACCTGTGATAACTGTAATAAAAATACATCACAATTAGTATTCTCTATTTTTAATACTGGGTGGCACAAAAAACCAAAGGGTCTATGAACTTGGATGAAAGTCATATATGTAAACGGTAAAGTTGTCCCTGTGCTTAATTAATTAAGCACTATGCCATGAAGACGTACATGGGAGTGGATGTGTAGATCCACATACTCTTAACCTCGGCACTATAAACAGGTGAGTGGTCAGTTTCATGCTCTGGTCACTTTCCTCCCAGTACCCAATGGACAGGACAGTGGGTGTGTCCCAGAGCCAGTCTAGAGGCTATGGAGAATAATCCTTGCCCTGTACAGGAATTGGACACTGAACCCTTGACTGTCCAGCCCATACACCAGTCAGTATGCTGAGCTAACCTGGCTCCTCAGAAAATACCATAAAATACAGATTTATTCAGTTTGGTCGATTCATTAAACAGTAAAATATCTTCTATTCTGAGTGTTAACAATGGATACTTTTACAATATAATCCAACTTTTGAAAGTGCCAGTGATGCTACAGATCAACAGAATGGCCGCCAAACTCCCCGATTTAAATCCATCAAGTTACCATGTTTGGAATGAAGTTACTTAGAGTACAGTACAGTACAGCTGTGTCAACTGGGTCCAACTGAGTAGGTTTTACTTGAGGACAGAGACAAAGTCCAGTTTCTGAAACATTTTAAAATAAAAACAGGATGATGTCCAAAGAGGCAATATTTGTACTAATATACAGGGTTAGCCTAAAAGAAATAAGACAGTTTAAATGCTTTATAAATTAAATTCTCAACCTCCACTTTTTCATTTGTCTTCGTGACGTCAGAATCACATGAACGCCCCTAACGTATGTCGAGCACTATGGCCACTAACCAGGTGGAGAAGGCTTTTTGCATGATTGTACTTGCAAAAACAAATTCTGTTACTGTCGTGCAGCATCGTTTTAGAACACGGCAGGGTAAACAACCACCTACAAGACAATCAGTCTACGACTGGAGCAAGAAATTTAATGAAACTGGGAAACTGGTTGCCTGTGCAAGGGGAAAAGTCCTGGGAGACCATCTGTATCCAAGGAAACGGTGACTCGTGGTGAAACTTACACGTGCAGCCCAAAAAAGTCGACAACATGTGCAAGTTTAGAACTCCAAGTTCCACAAAAGACGGTGTGGAATATCTTGTGTAAATGTTTACGAATGTTCCCTTACAGTTGCAATTACTGAAGAACCTCACTGAAAACGACAAAATCCTCCATCACTCATTCTGTATGGACATGCAGCAGCAGACTGAAGGCAGTAACGATTTCTTTAACTGGCTGGTTTTCGGTGATGAATCAACATTCCACATTAGTGGTACAGCGGACAAATACAACGTTCGTATGTGGGGAACTGAAAACCCGAGAGCTGTAGTAGAGCATGTGAGGGATTCACCTAAAGTGAATGTTTTTGTGCTGTATCCCGTAAGAGGGTGCATGGACCATTCTTTTTCCAGGAAAAAAAAACAGTGCATGGAATAACCTACCTAGACATGCTACACGAGTGGCTGGTGCCTCAACTACAAGAAACACTGACAATTTCACATTTGTCCAAGATGGTGCTCCACCACACTGGCACCTTGAAGTTAGAAATTACCTGGACGATCAATATGGATTCCAATAAAATATAGAAAGAGAAAATGGGGGGGGGGGACTATGCCTTTTTTAACATTTAAAATTAAAACTTTTTTTGTGTGCAATAAACAAATTGAACTGAAAAACCTGTTTGCACACATGCTTCACTATCTTATGCATGTGTACAGTATAAGAGTTTCACTGAATCTGCAGAGACGTTCAACTTTTTAAATAATTCTCTTGCACCATTCTGTATACTGCTGATCATAAACATGTACACTCAAAAGGATATTCATTATTAACAAAGACATGCCCTTCTTACCTCAGCAACGTGAAGATGTATCTAGGACTTGCCGAATCCTTGCCACCAGAAAGCCGAGTACCAAATTGGCCAATAGGCTGCAGGAGGTTGATATTGTTGCTACCAACAAAATTTTGGGCCAAGTTGACAATTGTGGACATGAGTGACTGTTCACCATGATGGTATGATGAATGTTCTGCAACAGAACCTGCAAGCTGAGCCACCTTGATCTCACGCTTGTCAGCACGCTTCAAACAAGTGAAGAGCACCTGAAAAATTATTTATCATATTAGTATCAATGAACAGAGTGATGACATGCACTCATACAGAAAGCCTTTAAGTACCCAGAAATATATAGACATTAAAACAGAACTGCACCACGCTAGGGCCACAGACAGAAATTCCATATTGCCCACACTAGCCCCTCCAGCATACTTCATCATATTTGCCGCCTGTCACCTCATCATCCACTGTTCGCACAAATATTGGTCGTGGCAATCGCATGATAATCCTACAAGCATTCTGGACTGGCTGACATATCCAAGGGGAGGCTGGACAGAAAGAGAACACCAAGCAGAGAGTGGCAAGCCTCAAACACAGCCGCGCCATAGCCCAAATGGTTAGTTAGTTGCTGGTTTCCCACCACGGTGGCCTGGGTCTGGTCAAGTGGGATTTGTGGTTGACAATGTGGCGCTGGGGCAGGTTTTCTCCAAGTACTTCGGTTTCCCCTGCCAATCTTCATCCCACCAAATTCTCCATCATCATAATCACCCGGGGCAGGTAAAATATGCCAATCAGTGGCCAATGTGCTGAGTGGACCCAGCTAGACTCCACCGCGCACTATGCGAAAAAAAAACCTCAAGCACTGTCATCTTCACTATCCTTGGGACTCACTCCATCATCTTACTACATTTTTCTTCTTCCCATAGGTTATTTAATGACACTTTCAGCGTCAAGACTGTAGAGTATCAGATGGTAGGATGATAAATGAACAGGAAATGACTTAGAAGGAAGCAGCTGTGGTCTAATCAAGGCACAAACCCAGTATTTTCGTGGAGGGACTAAGGAAACAAGTGTCAGGAGAGCCAATATTCCAGCACCTCCTGAAAATAACTCTAGATCAACCTGCTTGGTAGTCTCAGTATAGTATGAATACCTTTGTAATGTCCTGCAGTGGCCTTTTATTAGTGCCAGTTCACATTCTTAACACTGAAGCACTACATGCTAAAACTGCTGTATAATAAGCAGGGATGAGAAAGTGGCACTACAATACTCCCAGTGTGGAGGTGGGTTTGTATACCTCCCTGCAAGTTGCAGAATATGACAAAAAAGGAACCTGGTGTCCAGGGGTAGAATTAGGCCACCATGTCACTGGGGGACATAGAGAAAAGACCTAATCATCCAGGATGGAGGTTGGCTGTAAGACTAAAAACCTTCCTGTGAAAAAATTACTGTTGTGAAATCCAAAGAAGTGAAAACTGGATCAAATCTGGCAGAATCTTCTAATGCTATGGCTCAAAAAGTGCTGTTTTGCCAATGATGATAGTGATGGTGACACCACAATACAACTCTACAAGCAGCTGTGCCTCATTGCAGTTACTGGGAGAAAAACACTCTGGGGAGAAGTGAACTGATTTTAACAAAAATTGGCAAGAGTTAGGAGCCTTGAAGAAACAGCACAACAGTATGCTATTTTGAATTACTGGGCTTTCTGGGCTTTGTCCATTGTTTGGTATTCTGAATAGATCAAAATGCTTTGGAAATATGGGTATATGTCCCTTCTCATGAGATAAGCTGAGAATGCACATACTCAAAGAGATACATTTCTGTAAGCCACAACTTGACCAACTGTAACAGTGGGTGGCTGAGCCATCTGGCCCTCAGATACAAATTAAGAACAGATATTTTACAAAATTCACTGGCAGCCATTATTCTGACACTATCGTCGTAACTCACCCAAGTGGTGGTCAGATAGAAAATGAGTTACAAATACACCAACCAGTTGCAGTCAGAAGCACGAATGATGTAAATGTAAAAAAAACCACCATCAGAAAGCAAGCTAGCAAGCAACCAACTTCACAATTATACTAGTATATTCTAGTTCTATTCATGTACATTTTGTAACTTTCTTTTGTCTTAATACAAAGCCACATGTTATTCTGAACGATCTTCAACACAACAAATGGGTAAAATCTCCAAAATAAATACTTCCCACATATGGTTAATTTCCAGAGACAACCCAACCCTTTAGGAGTCTCACTGAATATATGCATCCCATCAACAGTGCGAATTTGTTTTGCGCAATGGCTGAGACTGCAGTGCTACCTGAAACCTATCACAGCCATCTGGTGGTCCTGCCAGCAGCTACTTCTACATAATGACAAGGTAAGGAGACGGAAAGTCCCAGACTTTTTTATATATGTGGAGTGAAGACTAATAACAGTAACTAGGCACGTGCAAGAATGCCCTGTGCAGCACAAAACGTGTGGAGAATCAAGACAGAGCATTTTCACAATGCCCCCACCTCTTTTGATACCTGACTCTCTTTCAGGGAACTATTTTCATGAGTTATTGTATTAAAAAATCTGGGCCTACACCCACTTTCAGCATGTACAGAGGAAGAAAGAGCTAGAAAGAAATTTTGTTGACAAGTTGAATTGTGCTAGAACTACCAACCATTATAATTCTGACTGATCCAGAAGCTTGTGTGCAATTGTGCACAGAAAATGTAGTTATGTGAAAATTATTAATGTCTGAGACACCAAATCAACATTAAAATTAAGTCTCAATTCATTCTTGAAAACCTGAGACTCATGCCTGATAATAATTTATACTGCACCTTTCTCTGTCCTGGTTTCAGACCATCAACCAAACTTGGTATGGAACGTTCATTGTCACAATTGCTGAAGAGTACCAGCTCCTTGTTGACAAAATCCGAATAGTTAACTGACTTTGTGTCCTTCTCATACAAGTACTGCTCTGGAAGGCCTAATTCACGTCTACGTTTGGTGTCTTCCATCCAACTTGTAAGCCACTCTTTTCGTTGCTCTGCGCATTTCTTACTGAAAGCCTGAAAAGCAAACATTAAGAACACAACTTTCACATATAACACAGATTCAAAACCAAATAAAATATATGAAAGAAAACTTTTTTGTATACCAGCATATACAAACTCATTTCCAAATTACATACCATATTGATGCAATGATCGTCGTTTGGACCTCCATACTTAAACTTAATTCGATGTCGCTGCATATCAGAAAAATATTCTTTTGCCTCTTTAGAAGTGGAGGTTCCCAAACCTGTTCAACAAAAAATTTACAGCCATCATGTGCAGAAATAAGATTTCACATGAAGCTCATTATTCCTTATTACAAAGATATTGTCACACGTTGACCACACACGGGTTTTAGATTGATAACTGGATTTACTGAATATTTCTACAGCTGATTACCCTTCACATATTACTATCACACACAGGCTAGTGTCCTCAGTCCTGTCACTTGGCAGTGGCCTCCAATGGCAGGCATTCCTCTCCTTCTGTGCTCATACCTTTCAAGGCTGGCATCCATCTTGCAACCAACTCAGCGTTGCTACACAAGGACATAAACAACTGCAGCTCCTCCACCTGCCAAACTTTCATCAGGCGTGACTGTCTGCAACAAACTCCAATTGGTCTATCTCCCAACTGCTAACCGCAGACTGACGAATCTCGAGTGGGACTAACTTAGCTGTGTTTTCAAGTCTCCAGATACAACCTCTGACCAGACCCAAAGAGAATGCTGCTTCCCACAATTCCCCTACTGTTGCATGACAGCTGTCAGCACAGACCCCAGCGGTACTCGAATTGGTTGCTTTGTGTAGCATGATGTGTTCCATTGCTGTTACTGTTTATTGTGCCACAACCTCTTAACAGACATCTCTTCTAGTTGAATTAATCTTGCTTTCAGTGGACATGCCAAATATTCTCTGACTTACAAGACAACTGTGGTCGCAAGAGTGGTTCCAGAATTCAAAATTTTTGTCACTGCCTATAATTTTCAATGAAAAAATTCATAATTTGATTACCATTAATATCATTCATGTTAGATGTTTATGAATCATAATTTCTGTTCTACTCAAATAATTTAATAACTTGTTAGTCTTCATGAAAATAATTCAAATGAAATTGTGGTAATACCCACCCAGCAAAATATCACAGCATCAGTCTGCACATGAAAGAAGTCTAGCAAATCAGACTTACAACTTAAACCTGTAGGTTGCAGGTACTGCTACCACCACTTCATTTAAAGGTAAAAAGAAAAAGTGTTCCTATGCTTTTAACATGCACCACACCACAAAATATATAGGTGAACAGGAAGCTTCTTGAGCTTGGTACTGACATGCTGACATGCCCTGGCAAATCATTCCTCAATGACCACTCAATATTATGCAGGATGAGTACCACAAACAGAACAGATATGGTAAGGTAAAACAAATTAAGCGCCACACCATGAAGACATTTAGAGTGGAGGTATAGCCCCACCATTCTTGACCTTGGCACTAGATGGAAGTGAGTGTTCAGCCTCACATCCTGGCTGCCTTATCCCTGGCACCCCTTGGATAGGAGGCTGGGTGGGGCCTGCAGCTTGTCTGATTGCTGTGCAAAAGAGAAAAATCTCTTGCTTTGCCAAGAATCGAACCACAGCCATCCAGACCTTCACCATACCAACTAAGCTATCCTGGCTCCCAGTATGGATATAGCAAAGAGAAAAATGTAAACCCCACCCATCATTCGGCAAACAGCCAGTCACTGCAGTGGCTGATCCATCCCAGCTCTACGGCTCTCAAATTCTGTATGGCAACAGATCTTCCATATTGTGTCACACAGATCCATTGTGAGGCAATGACTGCGAAATAAGCATCTACACAACAGCCACTGCTAAGTAAAGGCTCTGCAAACAAGCGTGTTTCCATGAACACAACAACTACACTGCAATATGGGCATAACGTTCTCTATGAGGTCCATGCTGAGATGTTATAAGCAGGACAAGTTAGGCGTTAATCAGTCAGTGAGTGAAGGGTGAGTGAGTTACTTAACTGATGGGGTTCAGTTATTGTCAGCTGTTGCTGTGAGAAGCTGGAAGCTGAGGCCAGGGACTGTTCGGGAACCATGAGGAAAGGGCACATCTGCTGCCAAGCAATAGCTATTGAAGACCGTAACAGACTAAGGAAACTGAGTGTGTCCTATAGTGATTTGTGAAGTGTGGTAATGAGTTGTATAATGTGCAATAAATCCAATTACCAATCCAAACCCATTTACAGTCACACTACAATAATGTGACAATATGTAAACCATGCTTATCAAGATCATGTTTGCCTGGAATGTTAATGGAAATGTTTCACATATAACCAGGGAGCTCCACAGTTATCACCTGCATCTGCTGTTCTCACAGTTGAAGGCACTGAAAGTTAAGTGCATATGTTCTTCCCAGAATGCAGTTTCCAGATTGTTGCTAATGTCTGCATAAATAATAATATCCATTTTCCACAAAAATAGTAACATCCATTTTCCATAGTAATCATTTTTATGATGAGCTTGCACACAAACCAGCTTAGCAGTGGCCAATTTTAAGGAACAATAACTGTTTCTTTGCTTGCTCAGAATAAAATACATACACAATTTATTAAACTTTTCATAGGTAAAATTATCATAAATACTTTAACTCTTTCTGATCCATCTGACATGACATGACAAGATACAAAACAGGTGCCAAATACCAAATTTCCCAGATGTCATTATACTCCATCCCTTTCAATACATATTTTTTTAAAAATTCAAGTGTGTGACAAAACACTATGTTTCTGAGTGAAAGATTAAAATATAACAGCCTCATTTTATAGTCATGAATATATAGTACCACAGAGATAACTATAAACTGTAAAAAGAAATTAAGAAAATAAAGCTTCAGTGACATCAGATCTGAAAATTAAACTTCACGTGTATATGAAAATTATATTACCTTTGTAGTACTTTATCTTGTATGTGTGCCAGTTGTTCGTTGAGGCCTTCCACTCTTCAAATTCTGGGAGTGAGTAAAATGAGAGTTCTGTTGAGCCTTTTGTTGCTTTCACGATGGGAGTAATAAACTCCTCAAGAAATGGCAATTTCAACAGCGATGGCCAGTTGTGATGAATGAAGTTGATCAGCAGACCTTTTATATGAGACCCATCCTGATCTTGATCTGTCATGATCATAAGCTTTCCATACCTTAGGGTTTTCAGATCATCTATGGATTCATATTTCATTTTGTACTGCAGACCAAGGATCTTTATAACATTACCGATTTCTTGATTTTCCTTGATCTGAAACAAAGAAAGCACTTACCTGAAACATTCATTACTTACAAAGCAAAGATTCTGTCATAACAAATTAAACATTTCTGATGATTTTAAAATGAAACCATTGGCTTTCAATTTGTAGTAACTCTACTCTTATTTCAAACAAACAAAAGCTTGAAGTGACTAAATCTCTGCAAAAATTAAAGTCTATTCCAAATTCTGATCAGAAATTTGGTCTCTTACCCTAAGGGAAGAAAGCTGAAAGCATCTAAGAGACATAACTGGATGGAAACGACTGCACAGTGAAGAAATCCATGCTGCATACTCTTCACCAAAAGTTATGAGGGCAAGAAAATTGATGAAGAGGTAAGCAGAGCATGTAAAATGGATGGGAGTTGAGAACTTCATACAGAGTTTTAAAATTGTGGTCTGTGTTATGAAAACACATAGGTTCACAGGTTGTTACTATGTTTCAGAGAAATCTGCTGCTTCCATTTTCAGGTTCACTTCCGCCGCAAGGCTTAAGGTAACAGGTTCACATGAAACGGTAACCACCTATGAAACTACACAGTAACATAATGCAGAAGACAACACCCCGCCTTAGTTTTCACCACTGTTAAAACCTCTAATTTCATATAAAATTGTTTTGAGAAATTATATGGAAGACTATACTCATGAGACCCACACATAAATATAAGAATAACATTAAGATGGATCTCCAAGAAATGAGGTACGAAGGTATGAACTGGATTAATCTGGCTGAGGATATAGTCCAGTGGCAAAGACTTCTAAACAAAGCAATGCATCTATGGGTTCCACGAAAGATGAGGAACTCTTGAGAAGATGAACAACTGCTGTTACCTTCTCATGGACTCTGCACCCAAAGACTTAGTCATTTGTCTGGTAAACATCGCAATCTTGCCCCATACCAGAATATGAACTCTGACCCCTCAGCCATTCAGCCCACAGCCAGATGCTATACTGATTGCACTATCCTCTTCATGTCCATTCCTTCATGCATCTTCATGGCACAGTGCCCAGTTAGTTAAGCAATGGGCAACTTTAACTTTTAATGGCCATTATCAGAAGGCACAACCAGCACTACAAAGACACAGTTTACATGCCTGATGAACTTAGTTTACCATAAAGAGATCACCATCAGAAATCGAGACTAGAGTAAAACATTCAAGTAATTAAATGAAGACCTTCAATTAATTTTAACATATGCTAAATACTTTTAACAAACATAATTATTTATTTTAATTATAACAACATTTTAGTCTGCTGTTGATTTTTAATGGTACAAATGGTACAATGGTTCATCACACATTTGAAATTTCATTGTAGTGCTGGCTGATGGCCATTAGTGGCCAAAACATGTAAAGGCAATCACTTATACTCTCACACTAAACTTGCTGCCCTTGATGGACCTTGCTACTCATTCATGCAACTACAATCTCAAACAATTACCTGCTTATGTGTTGCCTCCCTGACATTCAGCAATTTACCACGAAGTGGGAACACTCCATATTTGTCTCTGCCAACGACACCAAGACCAGACACAACCAGTGTTTTGGCTGAGTCTCCTTCAGTGAGAATTAGTGTACAGTCCAATGAATTCCTAGAACCCGCATCATTTGCATCTTCCAGCTTTGGAACTCCTGTAAATATGTGCATATCAGTTACAGCATAATATTTATAAATGAGCTTAGGGGCATATCCTCCTTCAATGAATAAAACATTACACAAAGAGCAAACACTATTACGTACTTCCTTTTCCTAGGAAGTGGTGTCTACATTTCACAGATAATATATAATATAGTGTGAGGAAACCTCTCACAATGAACCAATGCGCACAGTAATGACAACATACCTCCAGCACAATAGTTGCAAACGTAGCTACGAAATATTCACAGCAATAATCAGATATCTGTGAAACAGATCGGTACAACACAGTAACCAAACTGCAGAAACCAGTGACCTCTCTTCGGTCAGTCTTTAGCAATATAGTATGGATAAACAGAGGCCAGGAAGATACAGCCAGACACAGGCACACCGAGAAGACAGTATAAGAAGCGGAGGAATCTTCCATCATCCAAAGAGCTGCTACAGAATGACTAACAATGTCCCAAAAGACTGATATTCATCCATGTATTCATTATAACAACAAACATTTGTATAGAAGTTTAATACGTGGTTGTCTCTTCAAGAATCAACAATCATACAAGTGGAAAAGAGGACAGAACTGAAGCAACCATAGAGAAAATGTGATCTAAATGAAATGTAAAGGAGCAATAAAGTACGAAGGAAAGCTGTGCAACACCAATGGAAGGTGTAAACAAACTGTCAAAACTGGAAAGAGAAAACAGTAACATTCTGTATTTATTGTGAAGAAAATCAATTATGTATCGACACCTGAACATTAAAATACAGTGCAGTTTATGACTTTAGTATAGTATCAGAACAGTCAGTTTTTCTTTACTTTACATGCTCTAGTTGAAGTTAATGTAGGAGGAAACCTTTCAACATCGGGGGGACAAAGTTGCTCGCATCCGTGACATTCTCTAAGTCATACGTGTCCCCTGGGTAGTGCAAAATGAGCACCAAACCTGGCAAAGCTTCCCAAAAGAAAAGTGCAAACTTCTTCAAGATGCAACAAAGCAAGAACTTGAGTGCTCTCTATTGGGAAGCATGAAGCAAAATGGGTCAAATGATCCCAAATGCAGCCATTGGAAACCAACCAACCTTTCAACATCCTCAGAACAGCAATAAGAGCACATAAGAGTAGTTTAAATATATGCTTACAACCTTTCAATTTGTTCTGCTTCTTGCTACTGCACTGCTTCTGAAGGTCTTTCTCTGCTTTGGATTTAGCCCATGTCAACACGGCTTCTACAATGCTAGATTTTGTAACCTGAAAAGTTCAAACGAATGAAGATGTAACTATAAACTATAACAATATGTAACTATAATTTGGTCAGTGTATAAAAATTTATGGCTGCAAATACATCATTAAGTGATTTTGGAGATCAAAGATGAGAAGATAATAATACTGCCTGCATAAATAGGCTGTAAGGTTACGACATGGACTGAACTGATATGGGACAACTTCACATCTAGTAAATGAGATCAACTCCCTCTCTAATGGACTCCCCTGCAATCTTTCCTCCTAAGGACAGAAATAAATTCAGTTTTGAGATGTTCTGTTCAGAACACTAGACGACTGACAAAGTCCATAAACCCAGAAACATTAACGCATTCGCTGCCATCCTCTCAGTGGGCAATTTAATTAACCAGCCCAGGGCTTTTATATGTCAGGGTACTTTTAGTGCATTCATTATCCAGCAAAATCAGGAAACACTATTCGCACACCATGATATACGGGAATCTTAAACTTTTTACACATTTAGTAGACTGAAAGTGTGCTACCTGGTATCACATTTCCTAGGACGTAGAGGAACTCCATATTTTCAACAATACTACCTCATTACACTACTTTTTATTTGTAAACACATTGTACGTCTTCTTATCAGACTACAGTCACTCCTAACTGCTGGAAATTTTAGCAAACACAGTCCTTTGTCTCGCCATGTAACCGAAATGGAGGACCTTTTGTGAGAGCAAAACATCTGGAGGCTGATGATGCAGCAGAAGCTGGTTCCATGCTTGCAGGTAATGGAGGAACATTGGATAATTCCTTTTCACTTCCCAGATGTTAGGTACGGAACAAAATTTTCACAAAGTCCAGACATCCCATCCTTACCGCTTGATTGGGCTTTACAAATGCTTGGAAGGAATTAAACAATGCACAGTGGGGAAGACAGAAAACCTCTTTCTTTGGCCACTTATCAGTTTTCCTCACCTCCTGCATGAATGTATTACAATCAGCCACACAGTCTGGTTTCATCCACGTCCTGCCAAATATGTTCAACACTTCAACCATTTCTGCAGAATGCATGGTAGATACCACAGTTATCACTTTTTTGTTCTTCCATGACAAAAGCAGCACTTCCTTGTCACTCTGAAATGTCATATCACCTTCCTTGAGAGTCTTCTGGTGATCTCTGAGGCCACGTCATACCCCCCCCCCCACTTTCTGTCTGATTGTTGCCAAAAAGGGGCAGTCACTTGGTCGGTATAGTTCGCTTGCGGACTAAAATCACGGAGTTTGTTTGTTCCACAGACACCTGTGCTTTGTTCACACAACTGTTTTGCCATGCAGATACTACTGTAATAACTGTCCCTATACACTGCATACCCGTCATAGGTAGGGGTTCAGAAGTTCAAAAACTGTGTCCTGAAGTGCCATACCATTGACATATATCATCAGTTTACAAATATACCCTGACACTGACTAGCATATCATTCACACCATAACGCCATACTCTGTAACTGTGGATGGATTGTGCACTACGAATCACAATCAGCTTCTCTAGGTCAACATCCCTTCATCAAGAGCTAAACTGCTTGGGGATATATACCAGTGAATATATTTGTCACTTGGTCTCTCAAATACTAGCCCTATTTTATAAAGTCTGTCTGTATTGGTGTCATACTCTCTGCTGTCACTGAAGTGGAGAAATGACAAAATACTTTCAAAGTGGTTCCAGGTCACTGATTTTGAAAACACTGGAGTTTCAAAAACAGGATCTTTGAACCAACAGAGTTTGAGACTGGGTTTGATTGTTATCCCTGTCACAAACATCAACCCCCCCCCCCACAAATTCAGTTCTGATACTGTTATTGAAGTCCATGCCTGAAATTGTGAATGTTTTGTGAAAGGGCATAGTGCAGCCCTAATCACTTGGCTAGCATACTGGTCAGTTTGGTCACAAACATACTCAAGGAAATTATCTGTAATAAATTCACAAAAGACATAAAATAAGCGTTCTGAATGTTGGTATTCAGGCATGCGTTTGCTGTAAATGGTGAGCAGTAGTTTGGTGTTGTTTCAGGTGTGGCCTCATTTGCAATGTCAATTATCAAGGCAATTTCTTGAGACTCAGGCTTTCACTGTCACTTAATTTACTAGAATTGGATTCTGGAATTAAATCGTCTTCAGAATCTTCATTCAACAACAGTTCCATCATACGATCACCACTCAGTACCTTCTTGCCGTGACACGTGACACTCCAAGATGTGAGCAGACACTCTCTTGAGCGGTGCTTATTGAAACAACAAAGAATAAGGAAGGGGAATAAAGAGTGAAACATGGTCAAGGCCAAGGAAACACTCATTTACATACCACCTACAAATATAGTGACCAACTATGTGACATAAACATAGTTTCAAGGAGAAATGTTCGCACGCATTGCTATCCAACGTACAATTACAAACCCTTTAGAAATGACCAGTATATCCTGTGAATACGTCCACTATAATGACACTGACATTCTGACACTCAATATGCTAAAGCTGGTTAGCAGTTTGGACTTCAAGGCATTTATTCTCTCCTTATTTAATACTTCATGATTTAAGAATGGCAAACTGTCACATGACCACACGTTCTGATGGAAAGGAGGGAGTCCACCAGTCACAATTTCTTGTAATTGTTTACCAATTGTGTCAGTCCGCTGTAACACTGGAAGCCAAACTAAACAGAATATGCTCTGCCTACCAAGCATTCATCATCAGGCCCCCATGCCTTGCAGAGCCTGTTACATATGTTGGTACACTATCACATTTGTTGTATTGAATAAATGGATGCATTAAATATAAATTTCAACATTAAAGTAAATGTGGCCTTCTGGCTGACCAACATAAAATTTATTTACAAAAATGATGTAATATATATATACTTACATTGGTAATAAATTTATCTGACAGATTACATTTTGATCCAAAGTTCTTTGCTTGAAGTGTCATAGTTTCTTTTGTCTGTGAATCAAATGTAGGATTCACAATCAAACAATTAACAAACACCCAAAGATGAGTCTTTACTTGATGGGGTTTAATCTGTAGGCCTCCCTTGTTCTTCTTCTTCAATGTTTCTATCAGCTGTTTGACTATATGTTCTGCAATATGATCCACATGACGCCCACCCTGGAAGGAAAAACACAATCAGCTGCCTGAACGATGCCTTGACAATGGTGGATGACACACAGAATTACTGGGGTTTTCGACTTCTTCCATCGTCCGGAATTCTAGGTAATAGAGGACACGACATTTCGGAAACTGGATCTGCTTCCAAAACATCGTGTCCTCTATTACCTAGAATTCCAGACGATCGAAAAAGTCCAAAACCCCAGTAATTTAGAGACTTCAGCTGAAAGTCAAAATTTCAAAGCAAGCAAATACAAAAGAAAATAATTTTTGATTCTATGCAGTTATAAATGAAGTGTGAAAACTTGGTAAACTTTTACTCGTATATACCCATTAAAGGAATAATAAAAGAAGGTAAAGCTGTCCCTCCCTGTGCTTAACTAATTAAGCACTATGCCATGAAGGCATATGGGGAATGAATGTATAGAGCCATCATTTTGACCTTGGTACAATTTCGAGGTGAGTGGTCAGCTTCACACCGCGGCCACTTGCCTCCAGAGAAAGAGCCCCCAGTACCCACTGGGTAGGAGGCTGGGTGGGCCCCAGAGCTGGTCTGGATGACATGGAGCAGAGAAAATTCTTGACCCTACCGGGACTCGAACTCCAAACCCCTCGCTCGTTCAGCCCATAGCCAGTTGCTACACTATCCCAGGAATGAAGAACAAGATCATAATCTAAGCATATATGATGAAATTCTTTGGAAATGTGAAGTTCACATTCCCCAAAGTGAAAAATTCAAATCTCGCAAGTTCACATATTTTGGAGTGACAACCCACTCTCTGGTCTTTGACTGATGATATTTGTGGTTTTCCTTTCTGAAAGCACAGACAGTGCAACACTTTATTTGAAATTAAAACAAAAGCTTACACCTCCAAACTGCTCAAACTGAATTTCCTATCTATATTTCATATACTATTCTGCATGGGAATTATAATAATAATTTTATTTAAGAAGGCCGCATTGCAACACCCAATTTCACACAACAGCCAATAACAGAATTTCTGACAATTCTTGTTTCATCAGATATTGAGGCAAATGTAACTTGACTAGAAGTCACTGTCACGAGTCAGTGACCAGACATGACATCTGGATTGGCAAATGGATTTACTGAAGGCTTATGACCCTTAACTACAAGTAAGTACAACATGCTCACTGATTTACACATGCTAAAGATCACTGTAACTACAGCACATATAGTCTTCTACATCTTCATTAGTCATTGCCTGGTAACAGCATCTAACAATGGATATCCCTCTGCTTCCATGCTCACATCCTTAATAACCAGCAACTGTCTCACAACTAACTTGTCCTGCTGGTCCTCATATCCTTGGCATGGATCACACAGAAAACAATGCATCCAGCAGTTCTTCTAATGCTGCATTTGTATCTGGTGCCGTGGGAAGGCGTTTACCAAGCCAGTGGCCAGCAATGGCATCAATATTCTGCCTTTCAGGCATCATGTCACACTACTTTTATTGTAATTTTCTGCTTACATTCACTGTTATTATATACAATATTATATGTATATTATAATTAATATTAATAATTATTATAATAATATTAATATGTATATTATATTACTGCTGAAAATTTGAACACCAAGTAAAAAGGAGCGAACAAAAGTGGGTAGTAACTCTTGTTCACAGTCACAGAAGCAGGCCTAACACTGTCCTACAGTAAAGTTGAAGATGTGAAGGGCAAAGCTGACCTTATGCCAAAGCACCAACACATTTAGATAAGGCTCAGCAACAGATCCAAGTAAACACACAATTTTACACAAAATATCAAACATGTAAGAACATATTATGGTAAACACACAAATGATAATTCATTTTCAAGCTTTCACTATAGCTGAGCCCAACATTATTCTTGTATCACTAAGATTCTTTCATTATCTTTTCTCCAATCTTTTTTCACTTGCTTTCTCTTCCTTCAGCATTTCCAGCTTTCAAACTTTCCTAACCAACTTACGGCATATGCTGTTGGACAAGAAAACTGAAATGTATATAGCATGAAAACATGATACCATGAAACAGGAAAATTTCCTCAGTGTATCACAATGGCCATTCCTTAGACAATTAAGGGTCTGGGGGCGATAAACTATACAAAAATTTTCAGATTACACGAAGAATTATTAAAAAAAATGGTAAAAAATTCTTATCTGCACTCAACATGCTTTTACCATACAGCTATCAATTTTTATGCCAAAAAAACAAAATTATTTTTAATTACAAATACGAGTAGTTCTGGTCAGTACTTGTAAAACATACTTAGACTAACTGGGTGTTCGCAAAACTTGACACCTGCATATGAACATATTCCATCCTCCTTGCAGTCATTAAGGAGGAGACAAGGACAATGTCACATAGTGAGGACCACAACAAAGAGAACTGTTAAAATATGTAATAATGAAGAAAAGCATGAAAATGGTGCTCGAACAATTTAAGCATGTTGAAGAGTTCTACATTCTGGACTATAAGACCACCGTCCAATAAAAGCCAACTGATGTTCCTCAGAAATGTTGGCTGACTTTCATTGGACTACATGGCAAAACACAACTCTTCATTACCACCACTGTGAGAACCTCAAATCCCATAAATTTAAGCATGTTGTTTGCAGATGCAATAAGTTCACTTTCCAGGCAACTCTGATCATTACAAAAGCAGACAATCATTCTCTGGCCTGGGGAACAGATGTTGAAGGAGACTGCAGTTGTGAACAAGACAATAATAATGGTAATTCCAACAGTCCAAACAGTTTTAAATACTAAGTTTGGCAAAACTATTTTTAGCACAAGATTAACTACATTCATCAGTACACTATTAACATTTTGCGGACCAGATGCATGATATCATTCTTTTCGCTTTTGAATGTGACGGACCGGTCGCATGATATCATGATTTTAGGACTCATTAGGTTGTAACACACTATACCTTGCTCTGGCGCTATGCAACTGCAATGAATACTGCATAATAAATCTTCGGAATGTATGCTAGGTATTCAGTAACTTGACCTGGCTGGCTAGGGTCCCTACTCCAAAAGAAAATAAACTTTGCCCCTTCCAGCTGTTTATGTACCAGGCAGGAATTTAGTAGAGGGGAATATGTTTCAAGGACAAAAGTGGTTGAAAGCAAGCGGACTTTTTTATGGATCTATCTGATGAGCCTTGTGGAGGAGTAGTGATTAGTGACTCAGACAGTGGTATTTACAGGGGTCAACAAAGAATTGTGGCCACAGATAAAAGTGAAAGTTGCCTTGTGGCTTATAAATTGTGCAATTTTCAATTCATTTTTGGTTTACAAAAATCTAAACCCTGATTCGAAATTGAAATACAAAGCATTTCTGATGAATGTGGCAAAGGCCTGGGCTACAGACCCAGAGTCAGACAGAGACTTAGTGCGACCGGCCCTATCAACTCCCACCCGACGCAGGCCTCATGTGGACCCCCCAGGGCAACTATCAGGTGATATGCGGAATCATACCCTTGCGAAAATTGTGAAGAGTGGACATTGCAAGGGGAAGCATCCTTCTAGGCAATGCCGTGTTTGCACAGTTCACAAAAAAAAAGGAATATGTCTACATTGCAAGTTCTGTGTAATGCCACTTCACAAAGGGGAATGTTTCCTGAAATATCAAACTCTCAAGCACTTCTGTCAGCATTGGTAAGTGTTCTCCAAAAGTTTTGGTTCATAAAATTAATTAGGAGATTTTATATTAATTTTTAAAGTGAACAGTGCACAAGTTACAGTAGTAGGTATAAAAATGCCAGTCCCCATGGTGATTTAAATATTTAAATCGCTGGTCCGCAAAGTGTTAAGGATGGCTGAAGCAAGATACCACGATGTAAATGATGATAACCACCACATAAATAGAAAGGAGTTGAAATTTTGTGGCATAAAAAATTAAGTGTAAACAGTGGCAATCATCCTGTCAGACTAAGGAAAAGCAATTTTATGGGACAGAATATCATCTCTTATTTCCTCTCCGTCTATCAGGTGTGGCAATTATGCGACAGAGGCAATATGTGAGCATGCACGGCACAATCAACACATGCACACCCACTCACACACACATAAGTATCCACAGTCACATCTTCACTGCTGTTGCTTGGTTGCGGCCTCCAATGGCGGGCCATCCCCTCCCTCTGGGTTCCCAAACTTTCTCCAGCCTCAGCTACCAGCTTCTAACAGCAAAAGCTCACAACAACTGAGCCCCATCAGTTCTATAACTAACTACAAATACCAACTGGCCCTGCTTATAATATCTCGGTATGGACTACACAGAAAACATCTCTTAAATGTATTGCTGTATTTTCTTGTTCGGGGCCATTACTTAGAATGGCTGTTGTATAGATGCTTATTCCACAGTCGTTGCCTAGCAAAAGGTCTACATGCCGCAGTATATTAAAACGTTTACTGTATAAGTTCATGACACTGGAGGCAAAGTGTACTTCAACTGTAACTAATACTAAATTCATTACAACGAGTAATATTACAATCGCCTTACCTTTGTGGTGGCAATACTGTTCACAAAAGACACTTGTTGAAATCCTTTCTCTGACAAGGACACTGCAACTTCCCATCTTGGATTCACATTTTCATACACGCACTTCAGTGGATTTCCCTGATCATCTTCCTTCCCTTTCAGGTACAATTCTACATAATCCTTAAAAGACTTCACCTAAAAAAGTAAATGGGACACATACATTTAATCTCATGAATTATCACTTTGGTTTCTCAATACTGTAAAATTCCAGCTATCCAACATGTATGGGCAATGAAGTGTTCTGGCTATACGAGAGAGCCAGATGCACCAAAAAAAAAAACTCTTACAGAAACCCAACGCAAAGTAAAGAAACAGCTTGACTTCAGTTCTTGCGTGACAGCCTTCCTAGGCAAAAGGGCACACTGATCTGTAAAACATTTCAGATATACTGTAACACAATCACAAATTCAGCTAGCCTCTACAGTAAAGGCACCTGAATGAGGGAGGGTGATAGGAAGCACTGCTCATGGTGGCTGGGAAAAGTATCATGTGACAGGCAAACATATGTGCATCACAACTTTGTTTCTTTGAAGTATTTAACAAAATCTGTATATTTTTCTCTGAACTTTCTGTTGGCTGCATAACAACTGGTTGCTTGAATACTGGATGAAAAATAGTTTATTTTGCCAGTGCTCTGAATAAAAATTCTTTAATCTGATAACAAACAAAAGAAATTATTTACATAAAGAAACCAATTGATGGCACATTACCATATTATGCTCCTTTCATGGGTGCCCGTTCATGCGTGTGTGTGTGTGTGTGTGTGTGTGTGGGGGGGGGGGCACTCATGCATAGGTTTCATGGGACTGAAATCTTCTAGTGCCTGTCCAAAAGGAAAATTAAATTTCATATAACATGGAGACTCTTAAGTTTTCTGAAAGAAGACTACTGCATTTAAATGCACTATTTATACAGGGAGTTTCAAAAGTAATGAGACTATCCCCAAGCATTCCTGCAACCTTGACAATGTTTCTTTTTTTACATACAGTCCTTCACATGCCATATATTTTTTGTAGCAGCCCACCCAATTCTCAAACACAAACATCAGGTCATTTACAGACATCTTGCATAGTGTACCAGTGGCGGCTTGTTTCATTTCAGTGCGAGTGCTTAATTTATCACAGCTCATATTCCAAGCATTGCAAATTCACAAAAATCACATGGGACAAGGTCTGGACTGTAGGGAGGGCATACTAAAGGTCTGCTAGCACCACGATATTCACATGTGCAGTATGTGGCTATGCATTCTCTTGAAGCAGGAATCGCCATTTCATGTGGAACTCTGGTCCACTTTTCATAACAATGTTCCTTAAATGAGTTTTAAGCATACCTACATAATAAATAGCATTCACAGTCTGCTTCTGGGACAGAAGGTTCTGAAGAACAATGCATTTTTGGTCAAAAAACAGTACCAGCAATACTTTTCCTCATGACGGTGCTATGTAAAATTTCTCTGGTGAAGGTGAAACTTTGCGTTTTATACACCTGACTGCTGTTTCGATTCTGGGTCATACTGTCTCATCCAACACTCAGCACAGGTGATTATGGACAGTAAGGAATCATGATTTGGTTCAACAAGAGTGACAGCACGTTTGCAGACTTCACACACACTTTCTTTTATGGTCATCACTGAGATCATGAGGAACTCATCTTGCATATACTTGACTAATGCCCAGTTCTACTGTAACATTATTGTGAACTCTTTCCAATGCCACATTTAAACTACCAGACAATATCCTATTCTCCTTCGGCTAATCTTCAGCTCTATGAATATTCACATCTATGACAGCAATGCTTGATCTTCACTTCTTGTGTTCTCAAACACCCTTGTGTTTCTGCACCAACATCAAACTACTGTAGCTTGGATTGCTGCTTCTGTTCCACACACATTCCATAACATCTCTAATGTCTATTCATAACTCTCCTGCGCTTCACACAAAATTTTATCATACAACTCTGCCTCAAAACACATCACATACTGTTCTGCTCTGCCATTGCAAAAGAAGTTTCTTATGAGAGCTAATAAGAATACAGAGACACCACAGAAAATGACAACATTTGCACTAACAGCTAACAAAACATGACAAAGCAATAAAGAGCATTCATGATCTTGATCAAGGCCACTAATGATGAGCAGTGTTGCCAATCTCATTATTTTCCAAACTCTCCTAGTATGATAGTTGCTGCACACAACCAACTGAATGTTTTTACACTAAGAGACATGCAATATTTGGCAAATTTCTTATTCCAGCATTCTTCATTTCATCTTTAAATGGTACTTCATGCACAGATTCTGAGCATCACACTGCATAAGGTAACTCTACTAATTCTCAGACTGATGGCAACATATATCAGATTCCTTATGTTTCAGTCAGAACAAAATTCAGCAATTCAAGTCCTGTATTTCCAATTTAGGTCACGAAAGGTACGTACAGTTCTACAATTAGTCTCCCACCATTTTAAAATTGTTTCTTTTTACATACACAATTAGAAATATTGCAACCAACCAACTGATAGTAGAACGAAACAGCTTGAAAACATTCACACTATTGGAGAGAGAAAAAATTTTCCTGACAATGCATTACTGAGACACAGGAGAAAGCAGCAGCACACAACAGCAGCATCAAGACTGCATTCTTTAAAGCACATATGTCACTAGCTACTTTTGACAGCTGTGACATCATTGAATCAGAATCTAAATTATTCACTTGGGCTGTGAAGTCAAATTGATGGTAGACATCAGAGTGCTTCAGGCTTCCCACTTACTGCTAACTGCTGTATTTGTCTCCAGTCCTCTCTTGGTTATATCGACTAGCCCAAAGGTGGGTTACCTCTAACACTGGCTATCACCATATATATTCATGGAGACAGAATGGCTAAACTGGAGGGGAATGCGGAGAAGTGCAATGGAGAAGGGAGCATTACAGCTTGAGGGAGACGATCCATGGGACATCTTTCTGCGATCTCAGTGAAGACAGACACAGTATACATACGAAAGCCTGAGCTTACTAACATAGTCACTGTGAGTACAAGATGAAATCCAGCCTTATGATTCAAGTTACAACAAAAACCTACCGGTAGTCTCTTCCCGTTCAGATACACCTTCACTCCACGTGTTGAAGCTGCCACATCAAAAGCTCTTTTGGACATCAGAGCTACAATGTCTTTATCCAAGGTCTCCATTCTGAACTTTGACAAGTCTGGTGAGAAGGTAATTTTTGTGAAATCCTCTCCTGTGTGATCTTTAATTCTAGGCTCGGAAGTTTTGGACATGTTACTGCCCCAAACCTACAGTAATGAAATAAAAATTATTATAGAGTGAACCACAACACAGGTTAAAGACATTATTCCTTCAAACCTGTAAGAAATCATCCGCTCAATCAATAGATGTGTGAATTTCAAATTTCTTTGGATCAAATACAGACAGAGAGAGAATCTTAATTTGAATGCTGATTTTTGCACTCAGAGTTCCAGGTTTTCCAGACAACTGCTTTTGCTTCATGCAGCAGCATGCAAACTACCTGATCCATCAGAATCGTAATGGTTAGCAAATGCTAACATGAATAAACTCATCAACCAAATATGTCTCACCACCTTTCCGCTCATGTGAAAAGGGCCATGGATCTAGAAATAAACTTTGTCTGTAAGTAATTTTCAGTGAAATAAGATGTGATACTACAAAACAGATAAACAGCCCACTTTACTGTGTAACCGATTACTCCTTTTTAGTAATATACTTCGCCTAATTTATGCATACCTTCATTTTATGTAACTTTTGTATTTTAACAGAACTTAAATTACAAGTTTGGGTGAACTGCGTACTTTACTATGCATTAGAAATTGCCGTGAACCATGTATTGAAAAGGGATGACCCAATGTCTTGTGACTCTTACGAAACTCGTGATTAAGTTCTTTCTTTGTCTTATGATGGGTGATGTAAGCCCAAGGAGTAGGTAGCTAGGGGGTTTACAGCGGTACTTCCCACCAAGAGCCAATCAGCTTGCTGAAATTGTAATATGACATCATACTGATGCTGGGATGTCGATATGTAAAGCTCTTTGTCCAGAAGAGACGCTGACTAGTTTCCGAGCAGTGAAGACGTGTTCATGCACGTTCTGTCTTCACAAAAGGGGGACAACGAACTGTATACAGTCTTATATTCAAGTGTAACAAAAAATGTAGTTACAATTCAATAAATAAAGTGTGTGTGTGTGTGTGTTTTTTTTTTATAAAGCTGTTGCAGTTTTGTTGACCATCTTTGTTGAAACAGGCCCACTTAACAGCCCTGGTGATAGTCTCAAGTTCCCCAACTGGGGTGGTGCCCAAACAACTATCAAGGTGAGGCAACATAATGAACAACTGCTACAGAATCACTAACAGGTGATTCACCAGTGTGCAGCTGTGTACAACTTTACCCTTCACCAAGGCAGCTGCAGACAGCTTCAACTCAACATGTGGTTAAATGCAACACATCACAAAAGTATATGGCTACAACTGCAATATGTAAAACTGGCTAATGTTACAAATTCTGATTACAGCTAAGACATATTTCTTATTGTCTTGTTTCTCAAAATGTTTCCAAATTCTCAACTCATGCTGAAAGGGTCATTCTTGCACATGTCCAAGAAAAAGTCTGACACTAGATACAGAAGTTTGCCATTAGTTGCATCAATGCTTAAAAGCATGAATGTGTTCCCATGTATTACAGGAAAGTCAATACTACATATAATTAAAGGACAAGTTCCTTGCATCTACACTTCAAAGGCCATACACAAGGAGGTCACATCTTATGCTCATTCACCCACATCACATGTGAGCGTGTCAGAGATTTGCAAGGCAAATGTTCTAATCTGGCTCCAGCTTCAAAGTTTCTCACTGGCCAGCACAGCACTGTCTAGATCGTTATCGTGAAACCTTCCTTTAATTGGTTTGTATAATTTTTCCCCCATAAAAAATCATGCTCTTCAAATCTATATTTGACCAATTCAATTCACTGCTGTAAATGAGCACATGAAATGGTGTCTCAATGTCTAATGCAGGCAGAAACAAACAAAGGACTGATACATTTTTACAATAAGTAATTTGTGGTTGCAGTTATGCCTTAATACATAAGAAGTAACAGGATCTTATGCCCCTCTCCCCACCCCAATGTATTGCATACAGGAAGCTCAGCTATCAACAGCGTAGTCTGCAAACAGATGGGGTAGCCCAATCTGACCATCCATGAACGGCACAGCACATTCAGTGAAATCATAGTTTTAATGTATATAAGAGTAGAACAGTAGAAGGGGTCATCTGTGGACACCATAGCTAGAGATTGGAATTGTTTATTTTGAGGGTCCAGCCTGTAAGCTGCATTTGAGAGTGTTCAGAATAACACAAAGCTGTGCATTAAATTAAAGAACTGACTGCCAGGGGACAATACATTTCCAAAAACAAACTTCCATTGCTGAGATCATGCATATTAGCGGCCTCCGTAGTCTAGGGGTAACGTTCCCACCTCATGACTCAAGATACGTGGGTTCAAACCTGGCGGAGGTCGTGGAATTTTTAGGGGCAGAAAAATTCAGGGAACAAGTCCTCCGGGAGGGACTTTAAGCCATGGGTCCCGTGTCATAAGATTTATGGCACGTAAAAGATCCTCATGTCTCTAGGAGACCTCTGAGCAAAATTAGGCAACACATTTCCCACCCAAGTAGTTTCCAATGCCTCTGGTAGATTGGGGAAATATCAGGTACCGAGGGCCGACCTTGTTGGCTGAACGGGGCTGATAGCACGCACCAGTACCGGTAGGGTATGGCAACAGTAGAAATTAAAGGGGGACGCACAATGGAAAAACAACTGGTCTAAGTGCACGGGGAAACCCACCCCCTCTAATAATAATAATAATATCATGCATATTCAGTGAAACCATAATGCAGTGTATACAAAAGTAGGTCAGTGAAAAGGTTATCTGTGGGAACTATGGCTAGAGATGAGAACCATTTATTTTGAAGCCTTCATTCACTATAAGAACAGGGACATCAGTATGATGCCTTAAGAGAAAAAATGCAGTGGCTCAGAAAATATTTGACATCATTCAGCACAAAAATGCAGGTACACATTCATTCAGAGAAAGATTACACCACGTACATGTGGAAAAACAGAATAGATGGTAGTAATGCGGAAATAATTACCACTAACATTAATGAAGTCTCTCACTATTTTGTATCTGGAAGCCAAAAAGGCACAATCACTCAACCACAACTGTTAATACATGGTAAAACTGTGACTGAAATAGACATCTCTCTCAATTCATGGTAAGCCTGATAATGGTCACTGTGATACTCTCGTGCCAAATGAAAAAAGTGGTCTGCTGAAAACAATTCATCACAGTAGCAGCAAGATAACCAAGTTATCTTAATATTGTAGCATACAGAACCATTGCTATGCAACAACCATCAGATGGGCAGATATATCAGGGCCGTTTCCGGGCAACAGCTCGATAAACACATTCCCGCAGCAAAAGACACAAACACAATGCTGTAGCATGCAGAACTGTTGCTATGCAATGACTGTGAGACAGGCAGACATACCAGGGCCATTTCTGGGAAAAGGCTCAGTAACACACTCCCACAGCAAAAGACATGAATGCAACAATAGAACAGCTGTGTTTTCTATGTGGTCTACACCAATATGTTATAATCAAGGGACAGGGTTAGACCTGGTGAGTTCTGTATGGGAGTCTGAGAAGAGAGGACTTGAGCCAGAGGCAGAGGAATAGCCATTGTTGAAGCCATTACCAGGAAATGTCTAGTAACAGAGAACACTAGACTGTGTGCTCTAGTGAACCGTAAGGTATGGAAACAACAATAATGTTACAGTTGAAGAAAGCAGTCTTCCGGGATTTGGCACCGTGTATATGTGGTGTTAACCGACGTTTCGGAGGAACGTATCGCCTCCCTCTTCAGGGTAGAAGAAAAAATATAAGAAATCTGCAAGCAAAGAGACCGTGAGAACCGGTAAAAGCAGACTGTGTGGAAATATACAGTCTTCTTTTACCGGTTCTCACGGTCTCTTCGCTTGCAGATTTCTTATATTTTTTCTTCTACCCTGAAGATGGAGGCGATACGTTCCTCCGAAACGTCGGTTAACACCACATATACACGGTACCAAATCCCAGAAGACTGCTTTCTTCATAGTCACCGCCGTGAAAGCCTCAAATCTTACACAATGTTACAGTTATTTGTAGCTATGAGCTGTAAGTTGTCAAAAAAATCTATTCACCAATCCAGACCCCATCTACAGTCGCACAAAGTACATGACAGTATTAATGCAGCTTCCTTTCTGAAGTTTTCAAGTTAATGAGGTTTTTGCATTTTTGATAAAATTTGTTTTTAAAAATTTCCTGTTGAAATTTCAACAGGCAATAAGCTATTGACAATTTCTTTACATAAGCAGTTAAAGAACTGTTTTTATACAAATACATACGATTACATAACTACTATGATGTCACAACCAGAGTGGTTTCAGTCCGTATTCAATACATGATGTCACTCACCGCAGACTATCACTGTGTGGTAACAATTTTCAGCAGATAGAAAACATAAACATTGATTGTAGTTTTGAGCATAAGCACAATTAATCAAGGTACCTTCTGAAAGGCCAAATATTTATGTTAAATGCAGGTTATGAACTAAACCCAACAATAAAACATATGGGAAAATAATACATTTTCAGACTGCACTTCGGCTTTGACCAGGAAAAACATTCACCTTATACTGGGGTTAACATAATGTGGAACCAAACCTACAGAACACACCTTGATTCCCCGTAAACAACTCCTCCTTCACCATGTGAACTGCGCACTTCTGACCTCAGACACTATGCAATCAGGCAATGAATGAATGTATGAGGGGTAGGCCTTCTCGGCCCTTGCACCGCGACCTCAGTGGTCTATTGTGCTTCTCCTTTTTTAATTATTCCCTCAGAAACCCCACACTTCGGATGAAGCGCAGGATTTTGGACGTTGGGGGCGTCAAAATAGTCACTTGGTTCCATAAAGTATTGACCCAAGTGACATAGTCTTAAATAAGCTAAAGCATCACATTCACACAGGATGTGTGTGGCTGTTATGCAATCAGGCAAACAGTAATATACTACAGGGTCCGGCAAATCGACCTCCCGTATTTCAAAAGGCCGTTACAAACAAACAAAGAAAGATACAGAAAAAATACTTTTATTTGTGAACAACAAATACGATGCTATTTTACATTACTTGGTTTTAAAAATTATTTCCGGTAAATGGCGTCCTCCATTGTTCACACATTGACGAAGCCTTTCCCGGAAGTTGTCCATAGTTCTTCGTGTCATTTCAGGTGGAATGGCAGCCACTGCCTGGGTGATTGCCTCCTTAAGTGCTTGCAGGGTTGTGGGGCGATGTTTGTACACTTGCGCCTTTAAGTGTCCCCAAAGAAAAAAATCACAAGGTGATAAATCGGGTGATCTTGGGGGCCAGGCGATGTCTCCTCGCAAAGAGAGAAGACGTCCAGGAAACAACTCTCTCAGAATTGCTAAAGAACGCCGCGAAGTGTGAGCTGTGGCTCCGTCTTGTTGGAACCAGGCTTGTCCCTCTTCATGGTCCCCAACAAACCGGTTTAACTTAGGTCGGAGGAAGGTCTCGATCATGTGACAGTAGCGATTCAAAGTAACCGTTACCGTTACCCCATTTTCCTCGAAAAAATAAGGACCCCACACACCAAATTCAGCAACGGCGCACCAAACTGTCACACGAGGGCTGTGAAGTGGTCGTTGGTGAAGTTCCTGAGGGTTTTCTGCTGACCAGTAGCGGAAATTTTGTTTATTTACAGTACCTGACAAGTGGAAGTGGGCCTCATCAGATGAAATCAAAACAGCGCCAGAGGGAATGTTCTGAAGAATGTCCTCACACGCAGCTTTGCGAGTTTCAAAATCTCTCTCACTTAATTCTTGGGTAACCATCATTTTGTATGGGTACACGTGTAGATTTCTGTGCAGGATTCTTCTTACACTCCTATCAGACAATCCCAGGGCAGCTGCATGTTTAAATGCTGAACGCTTTAGAGATTGCTGGATGGACGCTCTCACATGCGCCACATTTTCCAGCGTTGTTACGGTCCAAGGTCAGCCAGGCGATTTCTTTTTCAGTGCAGAACCTGTTGCTCTAAAGTTTGATACCCAAACATGAATAGTTTTTCTATCCGGAACAGGATCATGTCGGCCAAGTTCGAACCGAATGCCAAATGCTCGCTGAGTAGTAATCACCGATTCACCATTACGAATATACTCTTCCACAACAAACGCACGATGCTCACCGTGCCACGCCATTGTGACTACTGCAAATGGCACTTATACCTCTATCCATCGATACCCCCTCCGCCGCCGTATCCCCACCACAACTCACACAGCGCCCTCTCCAAATACGGGAGGTCGATTTGCCGGACCCTGTAAAATATGTACAGTAATAAGAATCTCAATGTCCCATCCCAGTTCATGGAAAATTTCATAATTGTTTACCTGTTTAAAACTGCGCTTATATTCCTTAGCTGCGGTTTCTACTATAAACATTGTGCTGAATATATTACAAAGCTTCGCACCATAACCATTTCTGCCTCCTGTCACCTTCTCCTCTTCATCATTGTAGTTGGAAGATGTCAAGAGATGACCAAAGATCATAGTAGGTACAAACATTTTTTCATCCTTATGTTCAACAACTGGAATTCCTTGCCCATTATTCCATATTGATATTATATTCTTCTCTCTGAAATACAAAAACAGAACATGGCCAAAGGGCTGTTCTGAACCTACAAATGTACAAGCATCATAAATGAAATATTGTTATGACATAAGAAAAGTCTTCATGTGCAACAGTACAGCAACGTCATGCTGGGAGACATCATTTGTGACAATCACTGCGGTGTGGTCTAATGTTCTGGCATTTTTAAGCTGCACAGGGCTCACCAAGTCTACCTTGCTAACACTGTTTTCTCATTATAAATTTTTAGCCCACCACATATCTTCTCCTTATCCAAAGGAGAACAGATCCATCCTACTTTAGTGTTGTACTGTTTGTGGACCTCAACAACAGCTCCTTGTACTGTTAAGGGCAGCAGTGCATAAGGCTGACAACCTTACTGCCATCTGTGAGCCGACTGTCTAAAAGATGTGGGGGCCTCAACCTCTCACACCCTTATGGGCCTGTTACAGGGACAGCTTTACCGTAAATATCCCACACTTGTAAGAGGTTATTTGTTTCATTATCTCACCCCTGGGGCTACAAAAGTCTTGAAATGTCCACAGTTCTCTCCAAGCAGGCATTCTTACTTCGTTGCTTTACACAGGTCAAATTCAGACACAACTATCTANGGGGGGGGGGGCTTGGCTTATCTCATCACCTCCTTCACAAAATGTCACCCCCTTTGGTCTCTCACTTCACCAGTAGTTTCATGTGCAAAAATATTATTAGAGTAGACTGGCACCAGTATTTTCACTCTTACATTCATGCATACTGCTTATTCCAGTGTTATGTCAGAGTCTTCAGTAATGCAATTTGGTACAGCAGATCATGAAACAGGGATCAACACATAACCCCACATTGCTGCATGGACATCTGAATTCTGTCCTCCTTTATTTTTTGCGGAACACACGACACAGGATTTGTCTTCCTTCCAAGAACAATGTATGCTGCGTCCTGCGTCAAGTTGGCCAATGTGATAACTCTGAACCACAATAGGTGAGGAGGATAAAACTATTCAGAATTAAAAGGCACAGGAGATGGAAAAATAGCCTTTTCATCTACTTCCAAGTCCGTCTCCTAATGGAGTAAGCATGTCATGTGGTCAGACTTGTGTAGATGCCCCCGTGTCTGTTATGTTCTTTCACTATGGCTGGTTTCAGAATGTTCCCATGTTCATCACAGAAATTACCCTCTGCTGGAGGAAGATGCACGTATGTCAATATGTCTTCATCTCCTTTTTCTTTCCATACTATTACTGTCCAGTCAGACCTAACTCTATGCTTTTTCACCCTGTTTCATTTTAAGTTTCTTTCCAGAAACCCTAGGCATTCCTTTTAGATTTCGTCTGACAGTACCACAGCAGTTTAATGTCTAGGTAAGCAAATCCTCATATAATTCAAGGGACGAGAAGATACTGCCCATGAAGAACTTATGCCTTGCATTTTTAAACCTTTCAGTCAGTTCTGTCATGACTGCATATTGCTTCTGTTTGGTGAATGTGACTACAGTGTCACTGAGTGGAAGATGGACAAAAGTAACATAAAATTAATGTATACAAAACTCACATATAAATTCACAAACTTATAAATGAACAAAAAAAATGTATACCATTGTTTTTAACAACTTCTGATTGTAGTTACTGATCATAAAAACAAAAACAATGGCTATACACAGCATTCCTTTTGAGTTTACTCTCAATTTTGGGGATTTAAAAATAGTTCCTTTTTGCACCGAGCTATTCTTCAAATGCAACTGGCACTGGTTAGTCCTCTTAAGAGTAACAGAGGCATACCTCATCGAAGAAGTTCTTATGGGCTGTGAAATGCAATGCAATACATCCCTGATATCTCCCTATGTTCCTTGTCCAGTATGAGGCATTAGGCATACTGTTATCCAGCTCTGCTCTAATAGTTGTGGCACACTTTTCCCACAATCACCAATAAAAAAACTAAAGAAATGTGTCAGTATCTTAACTAACAGCATTGGAACATAAACAAAGCAAAAAAAAAATGATGGCAATTGTTTCAAAATTTCATACATAGGCAAATAAATTCTTTGTTAACAATCCAGTTTTTATGGCATGCATCCTGTCATGTTGTACAATAGTGTAAATGGGGCCATCTACATAATAATACTATCTACAAGAAAAAGACAAAATAGATACTAACATATCAACATTTGTTTTTATACTACTTATTATACACACGTAGAGCTACATGTTTTGAAAGAATATCTTAAACTGAGTTACCTTAATATTGATCCATATTTTACAATTTGGTTTGTTCTTAATGTTTAATGCAGACAGAAATCGATACAGCTGAGCCCTTAATACCTGATCCTAGCCCTTTTGAGGTAGAAAGTGTTATTGCAAAATTGAAACGGTATAAATCGCCAGGTAGTGATCAAACTCTGGCACAACTTATTCAAGCAGGAGGCGAAATATTATGTTCTAAGATCCACAATCTAATTACTTCTATTTGGCATAAGGAAAAATTGCCTGATCAGTGGAAGGAGTCTATTATTGTACCAGTTCACAAGAAGGGTGATAAAACTGACTGTAGTAATTACTGGGGGATATCACTGCTATCAACTTCATATAAAATTTTGTCCAATATTCTTCTTTCAAGGTTAAGTCCATATATAGATGAAATTATTTGGGATCATCAGTGTGGGTTTTAACGTAACAGATCAACTACAGATCAGATCTTTTGCATTCGTCAGATATTGGAGGAAAAATGGGAGTACGATGAGACAGTACATCAGTTATCCATATACTTCAAGAAAGCCTACGATTCAGTTAGGAGGGAACTATTGTACAATATTCTGATAGAGTTTGGGATACCCATGAAACTAGTTAGGTTGATTACAATGTGTTTAAACAAAACATATAGTAAAGTCCGTGTAAGTAAACATTTGTCTGATAAATTTCCTATCCAGAATGGTTTAAAACAAGGAGATGCTTTATCGCCACTTCTTTTCAACTTTTCCTTAGAATATGCAATTAGGAAGGTCCAGGGAAACCAGGTGGGACTGAAACTAAATGGGACACATCAGCTGTTGGTCTACGCCGATGATGTGAATCTACTGGGTGATAATGTAGATACCATAAAGAAAAACACACAAACTTTAATTGACTCAAGTAAAGAGGTTGGTCTAGAAGTAAACACAGAGAAAACTAAGTATATGTTACTGTCTCGTCACCAAAATGCAGGGCAAAATCATGACATAAAGATAGGAAACAGATGTTTAGAAAATGTGGCACAGTTCAGATATTTGGGAACAAGGATAACAGATCGAAACCTGATGCAGGAGGAAATTAAGAGGCGACTGAACTTGGGTAATGCTTGCTACCATTCAGTCCAGAACCTTTTGTCTTCTCGTCTGCTGTCCAAAAACATAAAAATTAGAATATACAAAACAATAAAATTTTGCCTGTGGTTCTGTATGGGTGTGAAACTTGGTCTCTGACATTAAGGGAGGAACATAGACTGAGGGTGTTTGAGAACAGGGTGTTGAGGAGAATATTTGGACCGAAGAGGGATGAAGTGACAGGAGGTTGGAGAAAACTGCATAATGAGGAGCTTCATAACTTGTACTCTTCTCCAAGTATAATTAGAATGATCAAGTCAAGGAGGATGAGGTGGGCAGGTCATGTAGCACGAATGGGGGAGACGAGGAATGTGTATAGGATATTGGTGGGAAAGCCAAAAGTAAAGAGACCACAGGGAAGACCAAGGCGTAGGTGGGTGGACAATATTAGAATGGATCTTAGAGAGATAGGATGGGATGGTATGGATTGCATAAATCCGGCTCAGGATAGGGACCAGTGGAGGGCTCTTCGGGTTCCATAAAATGCTGGGAAAATTCTTGAGTAGCTGCAGAATTGGCAGCTCCTCAAGAAGGGCTCAGCTCCATGAGTAAGTAAGTAAGTAAGGTTTGTTTTTAATAGTGAACACAACTTTGTAAAATGTAATGTAACAATGGATACGAAAACTCTGGTAATGTAAGGTTTTTATCTAGAATTGTTTAAGACTGATACATATTATAATTTGTATTTAATATATTATGCCCTTGAAATAAAATTTAAAAGTCTTTATATAAATCCCTACTCTAACTGTGTGTTGGGTCAGCTCCAGTTCTAAACAGTCTTAAAACTGAGCTTAGGGCTAAAAATAGTTCATAGTGTCATATTTTACACTATTATAACGTACTTTTCATTTAAGTCAACACCTTAAAGACATCAAATACAAATTTTACTGTAACATGCTGCAAACTTGACCACTTCAATTTTAAAGAAAAAACCAGTAATGAGTGACATGGATCTATACATCCATTCCCCCATACGTCTTCATGGCGTAGCGCTTAGTTAGTTAAGCACAGGGAGAACTCTACCTTTACCTTACCAGGCGTGAGCATGAAGAAGCAAATTTAAATGCTGTATGCTAAAAGTTAAGGACAGCTGGTCTCCATAACAACTTATATACCCAGAAGCTACTGGATATGAAACAGGAGCACAGATTTCTCAACCTCGGTTGGTCCTTACACTTGACAGAAATATTACATCCAGCTGCTTGCAAATTATCCATTAGACCAAGGCACAGACCACATGCATAAATTCCACACCGAAAGGTAATTAAAATGTATAGAAAGGAACTTAACCAGGCCAAGATCATACTGTAAGCAAGTGGGTTATTATATACTATTATATTATATTATTATATACTAATTCCACACGCAGGTTCCACCAGTGTTAAAACATGTTAACAGGTGGCCAGGTACGGTTTTCCACCTACTGACTCTTATAAAGTTCAGCAAGCACCCCATTTTAAAAGAAAACCATTCCATATTTCTCTCACTGCCCACACTTCAATGAGGCCCATGAACTTTCCTGCTATTACTAGCCAGGTGACCATTTTGACATAGCTGATGCAGAGGCACTGTAAGTGGATATACTTACGGATTTATTTCTATTTTTATACAGTCCATTTTGGGATCTCGCTGCTTATTATCAGCAGCATTTACAAGAATTTCATCAAAGATTTTGTAAAGACCGGGAACATATGAAATTTCTTTCTGGACCATTGCATCTTGTTCTTCGTCATACAGCCACATGGTTTCCACTACAGGCTCAACAGAACCTGAAAGCATTTCAGACCACATTTTATATTAGCTTGACTTTCAGAGAACAGACTGAACTGAACACCATACACAGGAAATAGAAGCAATCCACCATGTCTCTGATAGACCATACAGTAAGTCAACCCAGCCTGAACAGCTCTCCAATCTGGACTTCTGTTATCCCACAAATAACAAAACTACAACTCTGTCCAGCATACATTAAGTAGGAAAATTTCTGCTTTTTATGTTGGTACCATACATATAATTTCTCTCTCCAGTGATGGTCTTGATTCTGATAGTACTCTGGTACTAGGCCTTGTACGTGTGGACTTCTTTAATGTTTTAACATTGTGTCTTAACTCTCGCAGACAGTTTGTATAGCCTATCTTGTGTTTGTGTGGATGTCCAGAGATAGGGACTAGCTATATCAATTAGGCCCAACTGAAGACAGAAACAGAATCCAGTCTCCAAAACACTGTCTTCAAAATAAACAGGGCCATGGATAATGTCCAGAAACACAATACTTGTATTGCTTCAGAGAACAGAATAACTACAAAGCACATATACAAATTGCAGCATCCTGTTGCACTGCGTAGATCTGACCTTGCAGTCCACTTTTTTGCGATCTATGTGCAACATCATTTAATACTCTCTCTCTGTTTCCTTTTTATCGACACTACATGTTTCAGCCTAAATGGCCTAATGAACGACCACGATGGCTGACCGCCATACAACAAACCTGCACCAAAACAAAAACACTCAGGACAGCCACAGGCCATAAACCAACAAAACCGTAAGTAACATCTTATATACAGAAACTGAATACACATTTGAACCTTAAAATAAGGCTTTAACATAACACATCACATATTACAGATAACGCAAACACGTGTTTAGCAATTACAGTAAAACTTGGTTATAGAAACATCGGTTTCTGCGACACCTTGTCTATTGTGTCAAATATTCAATGGTACGAACTAATTCCTCATAAAGCAACTGTTTTTATACCTTGCTTAGTACGACATGCACAAATGCATCAACCTCGTATGTAACGTCATTTTCATTCCCGAATTTCTCTGATATGGACATTGAACATAATTTAGAAAGTGTGTATTGGGCAAGTAACAGGAAACAGATGAAGATAACTGATTACTGTACTCGTATCTAGGTACAGTAAGGCACAACAATTGATGTAATCTACTGTAATTTGGTGAGTAGGCCTACCTTTAATATACAGTATTAGTGCGGTGTGTATTGTCAGTGAAAAGCGCTGTAATATGTCTTTGATATTACACATTTGGGCAATTCCACGTTAATGTTACGTTAGTCTGTACTTAACTACGTATTTCACTAAAAAATGCAACATTTTAACTCGGTTTTTGGTAGATTTTTACGTGACTAACATAAGGCTACTGTGGAAGTGCCCATTTCGGTTACAACGACATTCGTTTATAACGACACTATTTTTAGGTCCCTTTGATGACGTTATAACCAAGTTCTACTGTATTCAAGGACACCAAAATAAAAACAGCTGGTTAACCCACATACACCACAATCCGAGGCAACTACATAAAAAAGGCACAACAGTATTACAGTGAGCAGCAAATTCCTTCATCACAACAACCTGTACACCTGATTATGTCAGTTAGGCTGAAATATGTGTCAAAAAAAAAAGAAAATGTAGAGAATGAATTAAGCAACGGTGCACAGACAGCAAGAAAGCAGAACACAAAGCCAGATCTCCCTTATATACTTCTGGTACTCTACTGAACTGGAGAGGATTTGGAAGGAAGTGTCCATGGCCATACTGAGGTACTATACCGGCATTTGCCTCAAGGGACTAAGGAAAACCACAAGAAGACCTAAATAGGGACAGCTAGTGTCCTGGCCAAGATTTAAACTGAGCACCTGCGGAATACAAGTCTAGAATGTTACCACCAGAACAATTTGTTTGGTCCTAACTTTCTGTAGACACTTTTCAACCATTACACCAGCATTTTAACCTTTAAACTCAGACTTTTAACATGGTGGTACCTTGAGCTGGCCGGAGTTTATCTAAATGCCCACTGCCTTTCCAAAGACAAGTTTGGAAGGAATGTTGGAAATCAAGGCCATCCCCAATTCTGAATTTAATCCACCAGACTTTTTACCAATGGGACTAAGTAAAACAAGTGACCTAAATATGAAAATCAATAACATGGACCATCGGACACTATGAATAAGAAACTGCGAAGTCTGTAACTTCAAACTGTACTCACTTGGATATGACAAGATCTCAAATACTGATGAGACATGTGCAGATGAATGAATGGGCTTCACTCTAAGCTTCATGACTAAAAGTGAACACGTTTTTCTTTCTATACTCGTATTCTAGTACTACCCGTTACAAAACAGTGAACTGTCACTTCCAAGAAGTTAGTTACCTTATAAGTGTGCTACATTTGACTCAATACTTCAAAAGCTATGGAGTGGGATAAGAACAAAAAGGTGCAGAATGAAATAAGGACAACTTGCTGCAGACACGGTACAAACTTCTTGGTACTGTGGAGGTCACTGGCCAAATTAACATTCAAGATCATGACCTTCTTGGATGTGATGCAGTGTAGTTTGGTATATATTACCGGCCTAGTAGAATGAACGAGAACTGTTGCCTTGAAGAGGACATGGTTCCTGGGCCAGTTTGTATGACAACTTTTTGCAAGATCAGCTGCTTTCATCTTCAAGATAGGAATAGACCAGTAGGGAAAATCATATGTAAGATAAGGAAGGACGGGTTTGGACTGGGGCCACGAGCAAATGAGAACTGGCACCCTAAAAGGGTATATTTTCTCCAGGGGTAAAAAAGAAATGCAAGGAGTAGTAGTAAAAGGTGGCAAAAAGAACTGTTTAAAGGTACTGAGAAAATGGTTCTTTTTAGGGCATAGGCTCCCACTGGCTGACTCACAGCCCTAGTCCCAACCCTCCTTCACCTTAATGCATACTAGTCCAAAACCCTGAAGATGGACATATCAGATTCCTTCAAAACATTGACATCTACCAAACTAAATGGTGTCACATTCCATTAACATTACATTACATTAACACTATCATTGTTAAGTCCCTCAAAGTTCAAATACGTTGAACTCTTGATTATCCATGGCAATGTATGTTAAAAAAAGTAAGAGTAAAGCAAAGCGGCCTCCGTAGTCTAGAGGTAACGTTCCCACCTCATGACTCGTAGTACGCGGGTTCAAATACACAGCGGAGTTCGTCAAATTCTTAAGGGCGGAAAAATTCAGGGAACAAGTCCTCCGGGAGGGACTTTAAGCCGTGGGTCCCGTGTCGTAGCTTTACGGCACGTAAAAGATCCTCATACCTCCAAAGGTCACTGAGCCAAAACTGCGGACGTTTCCGCCCAACAGCAGTCACTAATACCTCTGGTAGATGGGGGAAGCATTATAGATACCTCTCAGCTAGTAGAGCAGGTCTCACTGGCTGGGCAGGACTGATGGTAAGCACCAATACCGGTAGGATATAGAGACTGGTAGAAATCATAGAGGGAAGCACAATGGACCACTACAGGTCTAAGTGCATGGGGACACCCACCCTCTCCAATAACTAACTAACTAAGAGTAAAGCAAAGCTATCCCTGTAACAGGCCGTGAAGGCCCATTGGGTTGTGAGACATTGAGGATCTCACATTACCTAGACAATCGGCTCAAAGATGGCCTAAGGTTGTCAGCCTTACGAGCCAGCCGCACTTTACTCCCCAGGAAAATTATTTAATTAATTCCTGGTACTCATTTCTGTTAGAGTCTGAGTCGACCCCAGAGCCATAGTGCGGCTGGAAGGATTAGGTCAATTGAAAAAAAATCCAATGACCTCATGAGGTCTTGAACCCGCAACCTTCCAGCTTGTAGCATAGCTCCTCAACCAACTATGCTACCGCGTGCCTCAATGTATGTTAAGTAGTACAGATAATTCAAAGCAATGGATAATCCAAAAATCTAGAAATACCATCTGCCTACACTGCATTAAACCCTGAAAATTGCTTAATTACTTATTGTTCATGCTACTGTCACCAAAACGCAACACAAATATCTTTTAAGCATATGAGAAGTGGCATACTGGACCAATCCAGTGATTGAGGCTAGCTCTTTCTAAGGGACCCAACAGAATAGGTGTTTTCCCTCACCTGAGAACGGAAACAGATCCAGTTTCTGAAACGTCGTGTTTTTCTTAGTTATCTTAAAAACCAGGACAATGGATAAAGTCCAAAAACCCAATATCTCTGTGTGTTATACACCATCGTCAGAATCCTACAGTAACTAGGTTATTAAGAGTTTAGTGCATGAGCATGTCTGTGTTGCACCTAAACATCAGCTGACTTTCAATGAACTACAGGGCATTATATCGCAGAAGGAAGGGCTCTTCATCCTACAGACTACCAAAACACAACTTGCTTACCAATATATGTGTCTGGTCTGAGCAAAATATGCTCCAGCTGAGATTTCTTCTGATAAATCTTTTCAACTGTGAGCTTCTTATTTGGTGGCTTCTTAGGAGCGACATCCCCTCCACTCATCATCTCTGGCACCTGCCCATTTAGCACCTCAGTTGCCATGTTGGGATTAAAAACCTGGAATGCAGAACATAAATAATAACAGTACAGTTTATTGTGAACAACACTGTTCTATAACTAAAAAGGTTTTCCTTTCCTGTAATAAAACTCTATGTGGAATATGAAGAACCAAAATTCAAGATTACTTGAAGCAAGGATCCCTCTGCTATAAGACTGAACAATTACTTTTACTTCAGGAAGACATGGATCTATTTCGATGTCGCTACAGGGTGGATAAATTCATGAGAAAAATTCTAAAGTTCAGAAACACATAGTGAGAGCTGCATCTGGTCCAAAGAAAACACTGATAAGAGAAGCAGAGCATGAAAAAATAAAAATCTCACAACACTTATTTTTATATATTTCTAAATACGCCATATTATCCTCCCACCTATGCCTAGGTCTTCATAGTAGTCTCTTTCCGTCTGGCTTCCCACCAAAATCCTATATGCAGCTCTTTTCTCCCCTTGCATGCTTCATGCAGTGTGCATTTCATCCTCCTTGACTTGATCATTCTACTCAGCAAAGAGTGCAAATTTAGAAGCTCCTCATTATGCAGTTTTCTCCAACCTCCTGTCATTTCATCCCTCTTCAGTCCAAATATTCTCCTCCACATCCTGTTCTCAAACACCCTTAGCCTTTGCTCCTACCCCAATGTCAGAGACCAAGTTTCACACCCATACATAACTACATGCAAAATTACAGTTTTGTATATTCTGATTTTTACATTTTTAGACAGCAGACAAGAAGACCAAAGGTTCTGGATTGAATGGTAGCAAGTAATACCAAAATTCAATCTCCTCTTAATTTCCTCCTGAATTCAATTTTGATTCGTTACTATCATTCCCAAATATTTCAATTGTGCCACATTTTCAAAGGATCTATTAGTGATTTTCATGTTATGATTTTGCCCTGTGATCTGGTGATGTGACATGTACCTTAGTTTTTGACTCACATAACAATAACTGACTTCACCTAAGCTTTCCCTGTTTCCATTACATATATTGAACTACCCTTAAATGTAATTCCTAACTTTAATTTTGCCCTACATTTTAATGCTCAGTTTCATTAAATATTCATCCCATTTTAATCTGGCCCAAACACACGCACAAAAAAAGTTAGGAAATGTAGGCCCATAGGGTTGTAAGACGTTGAGGGAACTTATTTTGCGGATACATCTTAAATGTAAGAAACACGGTAAGAAGTAGTACTGGCAGTGGCTGCAACTACACTGTCAAGAGGGAGGATGACACACTGTAATTATGCCTCTAACCTATGTATATACAATCTATAAACCTTATCTCAGGTTACTGGTCTTAACCAAATCCACTGTGAATTCTGTTTAGACTGGCCAGGCCTATAAACACAGCACTCATTCAATATGGCATTAGACACATGGCAGCCACCATTCAGTGGGGCCACATAACTGAATTTTCAATTCCACATCACTGTTCATATGGATGCCAGAGAACTTATGCTCTTCTCCTGCTGCATTAAATGCCAACAATTATTAATAACCAATGTGCATCCACCCAGCATCTCTACCACAAAGAAAACACATTAAATAAAACAAATGGCTCCCCTTCAAGCAATTAACCAACTTTTCTTACCAAACCATGAAGTTGGAAATGAGCTATTTTGCCTCTTCTCCCAAAATAACTACCACTGTTTTTCCACCCATCACTCCTATGCCCTGCTTCCTATATTTCTGTCATGTTTTCAGTTCATAAAGGCCTCTCAAAATCCATGAAGCACACATAAACAAACACATTTTACTCTAGGCATAAAAAAACATCTGGACTCAAATTCAAGTGAGACTACTATCGTCAATTGTGACCAATACTTCATGTGAACCATAAGCATCTGGTGACATGGTAGATTGGCTAGTTGCTCTAAAACACTTTCAATGAGACTGAAAATTACTTTCCATAAAAAAAAGTTATTTCTTCCACGCCAGGCCCGCTATTTTACAGAAACAACTGTCAATCATTCCAACATCAAATACGTATTTCTCAGTCTTTAAGAATGACAGCCTCAGGCCCATCAGCCTCTATGGATGCATCAAACCTGCAGGTGAAGTCAAGTTCAATTTTACTTCACATATATACAAACTTAAATCATGAATAAAAAAGTGAGACTACAATTTCATGTTATACATAATTACACACTGCAATGTTTATTTGGTATATACTTGGGTGGGTCAAATGGAAAACTTAAAATCTGTTTACCAGCTAATTTAATGTGAACACGGATGATACAACTTTGTCATTTTTGGCACAGCCCTCTTACATCCATTGCCACATCCTCTGGCACTTCGCTAATACCTAAATTTCTAGTGAATAAAAAATCCTTTCACTGCATGTGTAGCCATTTGTGCACCACCTCTTGCACTTCCATCAGATTGGAAAGTCTTTGGGTGGCCCAAAGATATAGTATTCACAAGGGGCAAACTCAGCTGACTGCAGTGATGAGGCAGACACTCAAAATGAAATGTCCCTGACTGTTTCAGCTGTCACGCAGACAGTATGTGGCCTAGTGTAATGCAGCAATAAAACACCAGTACTGAGCAGTCAATGTTCTGATCTCACATGATTAGTAAGGAGAGTGCAAATACAGAGCCCTGTGACTGTGGTCCCCTTGGGCATATACTATTCTACAAGTGGGCCACGGTGATCCCCAAATGGCATTAGTGTCATTTTTCCCACAGATGCCAGCATGTGGAATTTTTACGGCTTTTAGTGAGACCGAATGCCACCATTCTTTGCTTGCCCTCTTCATTTCAGGCTAGTAACAGTGAACCCAACTTTCATCTCCAGTCACTATGCACTTCAGGAAGACATCACCCTCCGTTTCGTATTGTCGCACAAGTGGCTGTGCATGAAACCCAATTTTTTTTTTTTCACACCAAGAATCCTGGCATTTGTGAAGTGCTGGAAAACATGCATTGAACATAACAGGGCCTATGCTGAAAAATGACAGCTGTTTTGAACTTACACCAAATTAGCTAGTAAAAAAATTTAATGTTTCCATTTGATTCACACCTCACACATGCAATTTTTAGTGAAAAGTTGCAACTGCCCAGACTGAAAATTGAGTTGAAATAACACTCAAATTCCAATTCAGTCAGAATAGGCCACTGGTCCATATCAGTGAAAAAGACAAAATGATACAAAAAACCTTAAATGTTTATGCTTATATTAAATATTTATGTTTTCTAACCTTTGGTTGTAAAAGTGTATTTCTCAAAAGTTTAGGGAGAAATTGGCCTTAAAACTATCACAATACACATACATACAAGTGAACACAACTGCTGACAGACCACAACAATAATAAAAACGAAAAATGGTAAGAAATTAACCACTTTCAGTTTTTCTAAGTATACAATTGTGTGAACAATTAATACTTAATTCGGCGTATAATGCCTAAAATGCACTAAAAATTTTTCATGAAAACCGGAACTTGTTTCATTTCAGCAACTCAAAGGAGATCGTATACACCTTTAGTTTCTGAAAACATGTTCATTCCCTCGTAAAAATCTAAACGTCTCCAACAACGGAACATAACTAAACCGATTTCGAAAATATCTCTCAAACTGCACCAATCATAACCATCATAACACAGCCTAGCTTCTCATTGGTTGCCGCCGACTGGTATGAGAACCGTCACCAGACATTTACGGAAAGAATGTACGTAACATTAACGAATTATATTCCTACTAATATTACTCTACAGCTCTACTCAGTATAAGTCAATATGTATTGCTGGAATTACCTTGTATCTTTCCAACGATGGACCCCTCCTGCTCGCTCCACATAAATGATATACAGCGTATTTGGTTTACTTAACTCCCACACTTGATTCTCGTTCTCCCTCCTGCACAAAGCCTGTCAAAAGCATAAACGTTTAATTCTCACCCTCCTCCTGAGTAAATAACCGGAAACACGTTATTACAAATGCGTTTTAACACCACTTTAACAATGCATATCTATAGAATACGAATTTGTGTGCAAGAAAACCCATAACTACATACTTCCCGATCTTACTCAAGAACCGGAGCGTCACTCCCGTGAAACCTCCATTTTGAATGTTAATCGATAGAAGTCGTTCTTGGTCTTCTTGGTCGTTGAGGTGCAAAGGGAGAGGCGCGTTTTTGAAATTTGATTATTTATTGCTGGGTGCCTCTGTATTGTTATTCAATGCGACCATTATGCTCGATAATTTATTTTTATTTTTTAATTTCAATTAATTACAGCAAATAAATAATTATAAGTAATTTTTAATACTTTTAATATAATTTAACTGTAATGCATTTACATTAGTTAAAAGTAACAATCTCTCATTCTAAATAATTTTTGTTTTGAAGAAGTGCANTTTCATCATCTTCCAGACAACGTTTCACTGCCATTGTATTATAAAATTAAACTACAATATTCAAATTCGCTATGAACTCACAGAAAACTGAATGCACTCTGTATCAAATCTGCGATGCAAGCATTGAGTTGCAACCATAGAGGGGTCAATATTCTCTTGCAGCTGCACTGCGTGCTAGACACTGAAGTAGGGAATAATGAGCAGGAATGATTTTATAATGCAGAACTGCTATGTACAGAAGTGGGAAATATTTTTACAGTATGCATCAAAATGACAATAAAAAGATTAAAAATAGTTTATAACTTTTTGTCTACATATTTTCAAATCTTACACTATATAATATGCTGCATTCTTTGCTGATAAAAACAAAGTTAGTTCCATTAAACAGACAATGGGACCTACTATTTGTCATTCATTCATTCATTCATTCATTCATCCATCTGTAATCTGTCAAGACGACAGGTCCACAGCCTCTTCCAAAACAGTTCCTCCACTTGATGCGATCTAGAGCTTTCTCCTTCAAATGAAAATATCCTCTTCTGTCCCCAAGGTCATCCAGCATCTTCTTACGTCTTCCGG